ACCAGACAGCGCATTGGTCAAAATGTCTACGAGGATCCTGTCCATCACTCTCCTCCTGTTCTCATTGTGTCTGTGCTTCCAGGCCTCTGCAGGCAACCGTAAGTACCAAATAATTACCACATTATACTGAGCCAGGCATTAAATTGCATTGAGCTGGTGCTACATAATTGTCTTCCTGCTTTATTTTACACTACTTTGATGCAAGTCTATTTGTCCTCCATCTCGAATACCTTTCATGTCGGCCTCTATGTGTGTTATGTTTGGTATCCATCACATGGCATTTAGTAGTACGTAGTATGCATTTTACAGAAGTACACACTTGCACACTTCATTTCACTGATTTCAAGGGAAAGCCGACCTGGCAGACATTAATAATAATTACAAGTAGTCGTCAATCCTCTTGCTGTCTGGTCATGTAGAGGCATCAGTATTACATTGAAAGTGTTTCATATCAATTAACATAACCACAGAGATTAGTTTGAACTCACTATAGTCTAATGGGATTTAAAATAACTCTCTTTCACTTCCTCAAAGTGTAAAAAGCGTTAAAGAGTTAAGAGTGAGGCACAGAATAAGCCCGACCTGACTTATGTTCACTGACTGAACCATCTAAGGGATTTCAGCTGTCGTCCATACATGTATATAGATACAATCGAACAAGATTCTAGTTCAAAGTATATTTTCTGCTCTGAAGTAATTTGCTTAGGCCAAATAAATATGCTCTATCAATCTCTCGTGTTCTCTGTTCTTCTCAGGGCGCTATCCTGGCAAAAGGTTTAATCCTCCATGCTGCGTTTCGGTCACCACTGAAAACATCACCAAGGCTGTGACTGGGAACACATACAGAAAACAATCTCCTGACCATCCCTGTGTGGAGGCTATAATGTAAGTTTATATACACGTTGCCCAACACTCAAACATACACACATAGTACAATCCTCATCACTCTATTTATTTATTTTTTCAGTTTCAACACACACAAAGGACCGGCCTGTGTTGATCCCAATAGTGAATGGGTGAAGACACGTAAGTTGTACCAACACACACACACACACACACACACACACACACACACACGTATATGCACAGAAATGCTGATGTTTTTTTTCTCTCTCTCTCTCTCTCTCTCTCTCTCTCTCTCTCCAGTCACCGCCAATATGACAAAGAAGTGAAGTATCGCTTCCTCTCTCAGCAAAACATTTTCCTGCTACTGTTTGAAAACCTGCAACGTGCACTCACATATCGCGCTGCAGCAATCCCCCTGAATGTTCAAACCTCCATGCTTGCAACTGAGATCAAATATATATATATATGCAGAAAGTGTAATATCAAGCATTCAGTGTATTTTCTTTCTGTTTTTTTTAATAAATGTTTAATTGATAACAAGATGTTTTTCTAATCTTGGCCTTCTGAGAGGTCATGTTGTTTCCTTTCTTAAAATAAACCTTACACTTGAAATGAATCGTTGTCTTGACTTATAAAAGCGCTGCAAATAAAGCAGATGATTATGACAGGGAGGTTTTTAAGTTTAGATGTTTTGGAGGGGTAACAAACTTCTTGCTGTGGCTGTCAGTTAATCAACTGGAAGCAAACCAAAAGGCTCAACACAGACTCAAAGAAATAAGGACAAAACTGAAATAGACTAAGTTGGCTTTGGTCTTTTAATGAGATTTATTGACAGCAAAATGTAAAAAAATCGCCCCCTTTATCTGGTAAAATCCCCTTTGTTGTTGTGGGACACCCCAGTTAGTGGGGCTCTCTCTCAACACAATGTAGTCTGTTGTGACTCAACAAACCGTCTGGGTCTGTCCTCAACTGCTGTCTGATCACTGCCTGTATGTGCTGTTTGGATTCTGTTTGCCTGATTGGACTGCCATCGCGTTGAAAACTTTAATTTTGCTTTAAACTCAGTAAACTACCTACCTGCTGAGTCTGTGTGTACATTTTCCTGCTGCTGCCACAACACACCACACACTTAGAATAACACACACTCACAGTAACACAAACATATAATACATAGGCACATTCAATTAATCATCATCGAGAAGTCACACGCAGTCTTGCTTCCAAATGTATTATCAAAAATTAATACATTTTGCATTTCAAACCAGGAAGCGTATGCGTTTCTGTATGTTACATTCTTATTTTGTATTTTATTATTTTTTGATTTTGTTATAAAGTTATTTAATTTTTTGGAATAGATGATTAGATTAGATTTTAGGGGACCCTGTATATCTTCCTAAAGCACTGGCACAGGTGATATGGTTGAACTTTGTAACTGGACTTTAGTGCCATCTAGTGGCTGCTACAGGTGTGAAGAAACTGTGAAAAGTGGATGTTTACACAGTTGCCAATTGAATTAGGAACACCTAGCTAAACCTAATGCTCCCTTGGTGATCGTTATAATGTTTTGTTGAAACTGATTTAGAGAGGTGATGTACCATCCTACCTGTACCCTCCTTTCTGAGGCTGCAGTTTCTGCTGCAGTTTGCAGTGCTTTTGACACGTCTAAACCACATCCTTGACAGTAACCCTCAACAAAATGCACATAAAAAACAGTGAGATTGAAAGACTAGTGTAAAGAAACACACAATAAATCTTACCATATCAGCCAGACCTCAGTATGACCTTTGACAGGATGCGCAGTAGACCAACTGTGCATCTTGGTGTGGGCTGAACGACATGAAAGCAACTACAGAGGCAAAGAAATAATAATGACCTCACATTTCTCACTAAGTACATCCTCGTGTACACACAATGATGCATAATGCACATAAACACACACTGACACCTACATGTGGTAAGTCGGGGGAGTCCTGCTGTGTGTAAGATTGCCTCCTGCCTGCAGAGAGAAAGAAATTAAAATGGAAATAGAGCACAGAGAGAAGGTGAGGTGTCAGACAATATGGATTGCAAAGTCGCTCTCTTTGACGTCTAACCTTACACAAGTATATATATTTTTTTCCTGTGTGTGTCTTTGTCTCGTACAGTGGATATGAATCTGTCTGCTTTTAAGTAAATTGTTTGTTAACCTTGTCTCTCTGTCCAATAAAACCACAGAGTTCACCTTGATACTCGTCAATCTGAGGCAAACTGCGCCTCATCTGGAGGTGAGATGAGGGATGTAATAGCTGTAAGGACGATGGAGAGAGAGATAGAGAGAGAGAGAGAGAGAGAGAGAGAGAGAGAACACATACCAAAGGAGGTAAAGTGAAAGAATACAGATTGATAGAAGGAGAAAATAACCCGGAGTAGCTGGAGGGGTGGAGGAAAAAAGCAGACGGTGGCTCTCAGGAGGCTAATTGAAAAGATGAAGGTGAGGGAGAAGAGGACACAGGAGGACTGATGTCTGTTTATTGTTTCTGGTGAGTGGATGATTCTGACTGTGAGTGTTTGTGCTTGACTTGTAACTTAAATTGAAGGCAAAGGTAAGGGGGATGAACTTTCAGCTGCAGTGGTTTCTTCAAAATACTTTATTTATGTAAAAATGACAACTTACAGCTCAACTGAGAGTTTATTTGTTTTAATATTCAATATGAGGTGTGGACAAAATCTGTAAATATGAAAGAAAGACATCAGAACATCTTTGGCAAACCTTTAAAAAACTGTTTTCACTGCATAAATTACAAGTATATACAATGCTATATACTTTATATCAATCTCGCTCACCTTTGGCTCTGCTGACTGAGTTTCACCTTTACCAACGACATCATTTCAAAGTCTCGCATCACTCCTATATGTGCTGAAATGTTTCACAATCCAAAGTAAATAAGACCCCTCCCAGGGGAAAAATAAAGTCTCCCAACAATAAAATAGTTTCAGTTTCTTCTGTTTACCAGTGGAGCGACATGCTGTCTTCCTCATTGACCTCTAACCTCTGAAAGCACGGGTCAGTGGGAGCTGTCAAGTGCAGATAAACACAAACACACACACACACACACACAGCAGTGATGGGTTTACTGAAGGCCAATGGAAACATAAACACTAGATAAGTACAGAAAATAGAAGCAATTTAAAGGACAAACTAACACAAAGCTCCATTAAAGGTTGATTCACATCATTTTTATTCTCATTAAAGCATCTGCATATTTAATGTTTCTCCACTCATTCGTTCAGGTTTTTCCTTTTATTTGTCCCCTGTCCTGATGTCTAAAGATAAACATGAAAGAAACATAAAATATGTAAGATAACACCCGAAAGTGCTCATGAAGGTGTATTAACTCCTCAAACTGAAAATGATCTTCATATTATATATAATATTAACTGTGTACCTAATAAACTTTTTTCCTTTTTGGCTGTATTTTTCTTTGATATTTAATCAGTTATGTGAGCATTAATGCATAAGTTGATGTTTGCACAGCTTCTTCTCCACAAGTTCATTATTTTCCTTTATAGTACACCTTATAGTGCAATATTGTCGTCATATCAGTGAGTTAAATAAATTAATGTGGTCAGTTTAACCCCTCCTCACCAGTGAGAGTGAACTGTAGCCACGTCGGTATTGTCAGTATTGTTTGGTTTCTTGCTGTTAAATAAAATACAATGTACGTACTTTTTCTCAAGTCTTTTGTTTTTATGACACAGAGGGAAATATTAAACTTTTTACTTCACTTACTATTAACAGCTTTAATTTACTAGTTACTTTACAGATTTTTGGATCTGAAAACTTCCAGCAGAGATGATTAACTGGCATTTTTCATACAATAACATTTCACAGTTGCGGCTTCATTAAATGTGAAGATTTGCTGCTTTTCCTTGTAATTATTTTGTTGTTTAAATGTATTTATAATAATTTTAATCCATAATTAAAATAAACATTAGTTGCAAGTCTTGTACAAAACAGTTCAAAATGAGCTCAGCCAACTACGACAGTAAAATCCTGCTTTTATATGAACACACAAGTCATAATAATCTAATATATCATATATAATAGTATGGTATATTTCTACTTTTAATACTTAATAGCATGTGGGAAAAACAAACAAGCATGACTCGGTCTCTTCGATAAAAGCTTTTATACATAAAACATCACAGTCACAGGTTTACAGTTGTGTTGAGAAGCTTATAAATGTCTCAGTCTCACTCCACCTCATTACATAACCAACATTAATACACTCAACTGTGTAAAAAAAACAAAAAAACAAGACATATAATATGAAACAATCATTCTCTGTACAAGGCAAGAATGGTTTTTTTGGCTGTTTGTGAGCAGAACTGAAACCCTGCTCGTGTTACTGTGAGTCATTTTGGATAAAACGTGTGTGTTCAGCGTCTGATATGATGGAAGATCCTCCCTAACAAATTAGTGGAAAGTCGGTCCATTTTTATTCATTCATCTGCTTCACTTAAAGGCGATAATCCTCTTTTATTGAAGAGTGTTTGTGTCCATAAAAGGTGGGAAAGACTCAAATTCAAGACAAATTCAAAGACATCAGAACAAAACTGTAAATAACAGAAAAGCCACAGTGGTCAAAACCCTCGTTTAGGCACAAAATAAACCTACATATGAAAAATATACAATAAAATAAACGGACAACCATGATACAGTAACCTGTATGCTTTCCTGAACTCCTCTGTTTAGTTCCCAACATGTGGGTCGGGACCCCAACAAGGACTGCAAGATAAGTCTGAGGGGTCATGAGATGATTGGCCAGGGACGAAAGGGACGTTTCTTGTGAACTACTGGATCATTTTTCCCGTTCAGGACTGTAGAAATATTTAAAATATACTGTTACAAGACTTTCTGAAACCAAAGACCACGTGTCTGACTTAAAAGGAAGCTCTGGTTAAAGTTCAGTCAGGAAGACTTTTCTTCTAGGCCTTATTTCCATCCTGCATTCACTCCTCTCACACATAATCTCCTTGCTGTCAGTCTGTCAGTATCAGCTGTTCTCATCAACACACCTGCATTGTTTGGAGGCTTTTATGGCCTTTTTAATTGATAGTGACAGCGGAAGAGTGACAGGAAAGAGAGGGGTTGGATTTGAACCCCTGGCTGCTACAGTCTTGGTACATGGGGCACCAGTCTCTCTCGTAGACCCCTTCACCTCCCCATCACCACCAGCCTCAGCAGAGTCATCAGCCACAAGCACTACTTGACTCCAATTATGACCCTGTTATTAATTTCTGATCATATATATAACTATTTGTATTTTTTCCCCAAGAAAATCTATTTAAATCTGTCCACATGTCATCTAGGGGCCAAGCAGGAGAAACACCACTGCGCACCCTCGGAGTAAACCCAGAGAGTGACCAGATGAGAATGGGTGTAAATGGGAGTTTGGATGATGTGAAGCCATTGTACACAGGTGAGCACAGGTATTTTACAGCCGTTTTAAAAGTCTTTTCTTAAGCAGCTAAAATTGTCATTAAGCTGTAGGAGATATTTTTCAAACCAAATGAGATCAACAATCTGTTATTTATGATAATATTGGTGCAATAAACGGGGGAAAACCACATAAATAATACAGCAATTATAGCTTACATAAGTGATTAGATCAGAATATTTTCACTGATTCATCATCGTTTTAGCTTGTTCATGTTATCTACAAAGCTTAGTTTTTGGGACAAACAGGACAGGATTCGGTGCAACTGCTTGTGATTTGGTCACGAATAATTCTTATTGGACTGAATATGCGCCATCTTTACATACATTCATGGATCTGCCTAGTCTGCTTCCTTAGACTCACTATATTTTAAAAAATAATAATAAATGTACGATTGTCAACACATGTTGTAATTTCTTGGTTATTAATCAAATTATATAACATATTTTGAATACATTTAATACATTGCTTATGGCTTGTTTTTAATCTTTGTAAATAAATGTTCTTCCACTTTGAAGACTCTCCTTCTTCATTTGCAGTTTTTTAATATAATGTTTAATGATATGAAAGGTTCAGTTAGTTGATGCAGGTTCTCTGTTCTGCAGGTTTTCAGCAGGCACTGTTTCATGAACTGAACATTGAAGACACAGTCCGACCAGAAGTCCTTCACCTCAGAAACTCCTGCAGGTTCAGTCCCTGCAGGAGCAAACGATATGTCTATAAAAGAGGCCTTGAGTAAGACTTTGAACCTCTAAATATGAGTGTCTTTACAGAGCTAGACCGTCTCTGTCCCTGGTCAGAGCATAGAGGTCTCAGTCTGTAGGATGGACTGGGCTCGGGAGTTCCTGGGAAATGGAGCAGAGTTTTCGGTGCCGTTTCGGCTGACTGACATGGCGTGCAGCCTGTAGTCCCGCCCCACGTAACGCTTGAGAGATAAACTCCTCCACGTCCTCCTCAGCTCACTCTGGACCTTTTTTAATTACACAAACAAACAAACAAACAAACAAAATGGAGTTCAGCATCTGTGGCGTGAAGCAGATCATTTAATTCACAGAATGATCCGAATTATGTGCGCGTATACTCACCTCGCTGTTGAGGAAACAATAGAGGACAGCCACAATTAGACCCTAAAACACACAAACACACACAAATCTGTTACTGATTAAGCATCATTTTAAAAATTCCTGTTCCTAAGTGTATTCAGCAATATACCTTCCACAGAAGATGAAGTAAAACCCGTCGTACGTTACCTGGAAGGATCCGAGGCCGAGTTCAAAGAAGATCTTGATGTAGTTCATGGTTTTGTTGGTCGGCTCCATCAGGTAGACGAACACCACGTAGTTTATCCCAAATAGGGGGATCAACAGGAGGGTGGACTTAGCCAGGCGTCTAGAGAGAGAAATACACACAGACACAGTCAATACAAACAATAAAACATGATAAACCAACAGTTTTATTGACAGAGGTTTCAAGAAGGGAAAGTTCTCTTCTTTCCCTTCTTTGCTTGTTTTCTGGAATCAACAACCTCCAGCACCATTGGCTGTTTGCACTGGGTGAGACTGTATTTAAAGCCAAACTGTGTGAGAGTATTTAATGCTTGTTGTCATATTTGGTGCAGAACGCAGAGCGAGGTGAAGTTCAAAATGAAGGTTTCCGTGTTTAGAATCACAGCTGTTTCTGTTAATGGTTGCCTGATGAGCTTTGGGACTGAATATGGTGGCCAGATGGTTTCATTATGTCACCTCTAAAAATGTAAAAATGTAATCAAGACGAGATCAGAGGTTAAATATGTCCTGGTGCTCTGGGAGTCTACCTGTATTGTGATCGCTCGTTTCCTCCGACGTCGGTGCAGCGCAGTTTCTGCACCAGGATGCGGATGATGCTGATGAACAGGATGAAGTTGATCTTGTAGAGAAAACACAAAGCAGGGAGGGAATGAATGAGTGAATAGTTGTAGAAAGGTACAAACTCACCCAGCTGTGTGTCATTGAATAAACAATCTCAGTCCCAGTTAAATGTTCCATTAGTGCAACTTTAGCCAAACCCAGCAAGACTAACGTGGAAACAGGCAGCAAATATTTCGTCCACAATAAATCAGGCAGAGCTGCACAGTGGCAGCAAGTAGAAAATATGTTCCTCAAAACAGTAAAGTTCAGCATGCCAACATGTTTATCTTATCTGAAACAGCTTTTAGACTGTTTATAAAAAAGTCTGTGTTGGATGGTGGAAGCACTGGGGGTTTGAAATGTTCCCAGACAACATTTTTGAGTATATGTGGCTGGAAAATGGAAATAAGAAGAGTGATGAAGTGATATAGTTAATTAAAGTGAGGCAAAGAAAGTGGGAATTATGTCAACAGTGTCACTTACTATCACAAAACATCAAAAATCCATCTGCAAAGAGTTTTAGTTTGAGGTTTAAACTGTAAATTCGACTGAAATAATCCTAAATAAGTGCTTTAGTTATGACATTAAAAGTTACTGAACCTCATTATGTGATAAAATGCTGGTGCAAAACTCACAATCACTGATGCGATGATGGGCCAGTTGATCAGTCGGTTGGGGACAGGGTTCTCATTCATCTCCCAACACCTGAAAATAGATTTAAAAATAAGAGCTGCTTGTCCACAACCATCGAATCTCCCAAATGTTATCTGTTGGAAACCTTATTGGTTGAAGCAGTGCTCCTCAAACTGGGAGGAAGGTGAAAGGGTGAACGCGATACAACAAACAAATGCTTACAGGCTAACAACACTATCAAGATTCAGAGTAAAAGTGTTGTCTTTAATTTTAATGTAAGAAACATTAATTTGAGTCTTTTGTGTACAGTTTGAACACCTGATGTTGATTGTATTTAATCATTTAACTTAATTTGATGTATTTCTGGCTGCAGTGCTGATAGAAGCCACTAGAGGCCGACAGTCCTCTCGTTTCCCGGTGCTTCTCAAACACGTTGCTGCTGTCAGAACGTGCAGACTCACCTCGTGTCCTCCAGGTTTATCCTACATATGATCCACGCAACCATGAAAACAAAAGGGATTCCTGAGAGACGGAGAGAGGAGAGAGGAGAGAAAGTCTGTTTAGATTCTCAGTCTGCCAGACACAGAACATCCTCACGAGGTGCCACGCAAGGAAAAATGACGTTCACACACACACACACACACACACACACACACACAGACAGACACCGAGCGCGCACATGAAACAGCAGGAGCTAAATGGTTGTGCATTAGGGAGGAAGTGTTGGTAAAGTGGTGATGGATGGTGGAAGGAGGTGTCACATGGCGGCAGAACGGGACTGAGCGAACACAGAGGCCAGGAGACTGTTTACGAACCGACCTTTCAGGAAATACACCGGTCCACTTTAACAGCATGACGCACTGTCTGTCTGTCTGTCTGTCTGTGTGTGTGTGTGTGTGTGTGTGTGTGTGTCTGTGTGTTATTTGTCCCACATCACACACAGATTGAGACAATCGCTGCACACTTTTCTAAAATCTGTTTCTATCCAATGGCTGTGAAGAAAGCAGGGAAGGCTGTCATCACCAGCTTTGCAGATTTAGGTGGAATATGATGGAAACTTCCCCAAAGGAAAGGAAATGCAGCTACAACAGAGACTGGAAAACTCACATATCACCATATGAACTGTGAAAGCTTCCTTTTATTCTTACTGTATCAACATTGTCAACATTTTAGCCTACCACAGCTTTGGTTACGTATCCTGCTGCATCCAGTCTTCAACCTAAGCTCACCAGCTGCTGGTTTTAACTTCATATTTATTACACAGACATGAGAGTGTACTAACGGGTTACAGAGGTTACAGAAAGGCTCCTCTTATAGCCAACCCTACCCCAGCCGATGAGCATGTAGATGGAGAGGCGGATGGAGTAGTTGTGGATGACGAGCAGCAGCGCGTGCAGGTAGAGACCCTCCACCAGCAGCCAGAAGAAGTTGGCCATGATGAAGTAGTTGAGGAACACCAAGCTGGCCTTGCAACCCACCTACAACAACAACAACAACAACAACAACAACAACAACAACAACAGCAACATACTTTATTACATACATGTGACAACAGTTCAAGTTATGCTCTAGTGACAGCTCAAGAGTGAAATTTAAGACATCACAATACAGATCTTGACCCAATTTATTATTTATTACGGACATTCTTACCCACACTTAACCCTACAGGTGGCATTTTGAATATTTTAAACATTTTAAAACCAGTATTTTAAGCTCCTAACAGATAAATAAAGTTATTTTGGTACTGATTTGAGATCTCAGGTTAATCTGGACTTTTTCACTTAGCAACTTAACCTCCATCTGCATCACTGTGAGCCTGCACCACAAACACCACAGACTTCAGTCTACAGTATGGAAGCTAACTGAGAGTCAATGTGAATTATCCACTAAGCTGTCATTGTAAAATACCAAAACTGGAGATTTAGTAAGTGGAGTCTGGTTTGTGATTAATATTATAGATAGATATAGGTCTGTATGTGATACTGCATGTGAACGGTAGTGTGATTGTACATGTGTGCTCCTACATTAACTGAATGCCCAAGACAAGTTTATCCTAAGGGGAGACAATAAAGGATAATCTAATTATATCATATTACGCATCCGTTGGTACCAACCCCGCTAGCATGTCGGGAAGCAACGCTCCAAAGTTAGGCAAAATTTTGGAGACGGAAAAACTGAGATGGACATTTTCAAAGTGATCCCTTGACCTCTGACCTCAAGATATCTGAATGAAAATGGGTTTTATGGGTACGCACGAGTCTCCCCTTTGCAGACATGTCCACTTTATGCTAATCCAAAGCACTTTGGGGCACAACACATTCAGTATTGGAATTACATAAAGTGGGAAAGACTGGAAAGCTGAGACACACACTTCATGTCGCCCCTGCATAAATCAGTGCCTTCAAAGCAGTCTGGACACGCCCGTGAGTACAGTAAAATAAATGTGCGTGTCTCACCAGCGAGGGCTGAGTGCTGCAGTCCGTGGTCTCGTCGTCTGAGAAGAGCAGGGTGTCTTTGGTCAGCACGGCCACGGCTCGCAGCATGAACGATACAAACAAGTTCAGATGGATGTAGTTCCTCGTACAGTGGAGCCTCCTGCACACACACACAAGTATGTCGAGAAGTGTGTTTATAGAAGGTGTCGGGGTGTGAATCCAGTGAAGGATGTGGTATCTAAACACACTGATAGCAGCCGAGGGAACAGCTGGAGTCGATCCAGGCTGAGCAGCGGCGTTTCATTCGTCTCACACATTTTTACAACTAACTGTTATCGCCCTGTGTGCTCTGTGTGTTGGGAAACATTAGCGAGAGAGTGTGTACGTACGTTTATGTTATATATCCTGAGCAATCCTTCATATAGCCGAGTTAAAAGCACTTATTCCTCCTAAGGTTGAGGTCATTGCAAAACATGTCTGGTATTTTTCTCAGTAAATGTCGCAACATCGACTCCAAACCGTCGACAATCATCTTGAATGTTTATTAAAATAATCTTAAATTTCATAGAAATGTAACTCGAGGGAGGAGAAATATGTGTGAGCTTCTGCAAGATGATTTATAATAAACTAAATCATACTTGATCCAGTTTATTTTTGGATAGAGAATTTAAAAGCAGATCGTGTAATGATTCTCTGTGCTTTCTTTTCCCATCAGGAGGAAAACAATTGTCAGAATTTTATTAACAAACAAACAAACAAACAAAATTGTGGAGCATTTAATAGTTGTAAATATGAATGCACGTATGAAATACATATTAATGCAAATATTTGTAAGACAAAAATTCCTGAATACTTGGTTGACATAAAGCTCATTTATATTACAGTGAGTGAGTCGAGCTGTGAATGAAAAGTATGCAGAATTATAAAAGAAATAATCTAAAAACAAAAGTATAAGACATAAACAAAGTACCAGTTTGCGTTTTGCCTTTACCTTATAACATCAACTCTCCTACAAGTGTCTTAGTCCAGTTTTTCCAGAGTTTCTCTTTTTAGTTTCAGGTAGTTTGAACACCTTGTGCCACTGGTTTAACTGGTGTGTGTGTGTGTGTGTGTGTGTGTGTGTGTGTGTGTGTGTGTGTGTGTGTGTGTGTGTGTGTGTGTGTGTGTGTGTGTGTGTGTGTGTGAGTGTGTGTGTTCACCTGAACAAACAGATGATGATGGTGCTGGTGAGCAGAGCGATGAGCGACAGGCTGTGGCCCAGAGTGGACAGTATCCTCACCACCCTGTAGAAGACCAGCTGGACACACAAACACAGAAAACAGGTTTATTGTGAACTGATAGATGGTTTAATGTAATAATGTGATGATGTGAAAGAGAGGAGGGTTGTCTTCCGCAAAGTATATCATGTGTTACTAAATACCAACTAATGTCACTGTTCAAGGAAAAGGCTACTTACATGTAAAAGCAAATTATTTATTGAACTTAATTTAATCACTGTCGATTAAATGCCGATGATGTGACGAACTGAGGAAGGTGCATGAATGCATAAATATAAAAATTCATTAGAAATATACATTTAACATTGTTAATAATTAACATTTTACATGGTACAGGTAAATAAAAGCACTCATTATTTCAGAATCATATAGATTATATTATTAATCAATGCACTGATGTGTTCATCACTTTAATGCTGCAGCTGGCAAAGGTGGAGCTCATTTTAATGACTTTATACCCTCCTGCTTAGCGTAAACCTATAATAATACGGAGTAAATGGAATAAAAAAGTAAAATATTTTCCTCTGAGATGTTGTAGAATAGAAGAACAAGAACCTCAGAACTGGAGTTAATTGGTTTCTTATAAAGGCAGACTAATAAATCCACTAGGTGGCGCTGCTTTCTCTATTTTCTATTTTTTTAATCTACACATTAAATACAGAAATGACTGTGTGAATAATTATTGTTCACTCCTCCGACGAGCAAACAAAGCTGTAACCTGGAAACTGAGAAGCTCTGGAGGAGCCTTGTGTGGTCATTTATTGAGCTGAAGGATGGAGAATAATAAACACCCTGAAGCCTCCTTATGCCTTGGAAGAAGACCCACGGAGGAGTTTTATAAATGCTTTGTCAGAGATGTTTTTATGTTTCATTAAATCATAATAAAAAATAAAAAATAAAATCAGTTCAGTAATTCCCAGGCTCATTTTTTTATCAACAGAAACTCTTCGAGCTCCCGGTGTCTTCTTGTTTCTTTCACAATAAGATCAAGACGAGAATCTGGTCCATTTCAAAACTCCACAAACTCTCCACAAACTCTTCAGGCCGACACACAGACATGGATCTGGACTTTAGAGCTGCGTGAGTGTGTGTCGGTGCCTGGTGTTCATCGCTCTCATCATTTATAAACAACATTCCCCATGTCTGACACACCATCTGGCGATTAACTGGACATTCTCACACACACACACACACACACACACACACACACCCTCACACACACTATCACAGTATACATTTAGACATGCATGCATAAGCACATGCACTCAAACATACACTAACTATAAACCTTTTTCACACACTGTTAAAGACATGCAAACGTACTGTACATACAGTACAACACCATCACAGCTCAATGTCAAAGCGCAGCACTTAAAAAAAAAAATCTTTACCCTCAAACAGACGAAATGCCTCACTGTGCATTAATATCCTATAAATATCCTACACAATAAACTGTAGCCGGTCCTCATAAAGACAGATGTTAAAGAGCACACACAGTTAAACAGCGGTGGAGAGCAGCTGCTGGACTTCAACAACGTATCGAGACACATTCTTTATTTAAAGATTTCCATTTCTGGACATTTTCTCCTCTTTTTATTCATCCTTTCGTTCTGTCCGTTTTTCCTTCTCTCCTCCCCTCTTTTCTTTGTTTTGTAAGTCCATGTTTCCTTATTTATTTCCTTCCTTTGTTCCTACTGTTCGTCCTTATTTCCTTCTTTTGTTTCATAGTTCTTTTACTTTTCCTTGTGTTTTATCCTCCTGTCCCTTTCACCCTAGTTTTCATCCTTCTTTCCATATTTCTTTCCTTCTGTTCACTTTTCATCTGCCTTGTTCTTCCTTCCTCTCTCCTGCTTTGAGTTGTTTCGTTCCTTCCTTCTGACAAGGTTTTCAAAATCCTTCGATCTCCAAATTTTAGGATTTTCACTATTGATGCTTTAACGTGTTCACGCATATTAACGCTCTTAAAATAACCTTTTCTTTCTGTCTTTTTCTTCACTTAAAGTCCCAGGAAACATGTAGATGCACAACAATCACTGTTAAAGTTTGTTAATTATTAAGAGTTTAGAACACAGACGGACTGACAGAGCTGATTACCTGCAGACTCTTTAAGTATTTTTCCATTGAATCATTACTACTTTTACTTAAGTAAAGGGTTTCGGTACTTCTTCCACCGCCTTCTGTCCGTCCACTGTAAATACACACACATAGACAAATACCTGAGGATACACAGACAGTCACAGCCTGGCATCAGCGTCTCATTCCTGAGGCTGATTCTCAGGCCGTCTGGCTGGGAGCTGATGACCTGCTGGCTCTGGTCTGCCACAGCCTCACTGCCTTCTATGTCCAAAGACATCTCCATCCATAAACTCTGGCTCGCTCGCCCCTTTTTGTCTTCCTCTCTGACACCAGAGAATTAAAGCCATGTTGAACTTTAGGCTGAACAGCTTCCTGGCCATGAGAGAAGTCTAACTCTTTACCTTCAGCTCCTGTTTGCGCTGCGGTGTTTTAGATGAAGAGTTGGAGGGAATATGAGGACAAGGACCAAAGGCAAAAAATTTACACAGTTTTAAAGACAAAATTTGTGAGAAATGTAGGTTAAAATAGAAAAAAAAAGACCCATAGTTCTAATTTTATGTATCAGTAATTGCTGAAATAGCTTATTTGTTAATTAAGTAACTAATTAGTGAATGAACCTGGCAATAAAACACGCTGCATTTGGGTAAAAACAACAGAAATACCTGTTGTTTTTTCTTTGTATCACCACAGTTGGGTGGATTTTGGCAGACTCGGGCACCAGAGGACCACATGAAGACCGTTTATGGGCTCAGTTTTAAGCTGAAAATCATCTTTAATTAGGGTAACTTTAATTAGCAGTGTCTCCTTCTGACTTTAAGCTGTAGTCATAGACGGGCTCAGATTGTGTGACTGTGTCTGACAACGTTATGGAAAGAATCCTTACAAAAGATAGATCTTTTTTTTTAACCAGAAACAGCCGTAATGCACCGCTGTCGCTCGCTTTGCCTCGCAGCTCGATGTAACTTCATTCACATTGGACAGAAACAAAATAAACCATATGGTGGCTTTATATGAGCTACATAAACAAACCATCAGAGAGACTGTAGAAATATCGCTTTTGTCCACCACAATTAACATAATACTTCCTCCACTACTGGTGACATCCGGTCTAGTGGCCATATGACAAAGTGGAAACTCTTATCTATTTAGGATTATATGAGAAAAGTGAATACAATATAATGATTATGGGGCTTTTTATGGTAGATATTGATGAAGAGGTGACAGGAAACGAGGGAGGGAGACGATGACCAGGAATGTTGCAGTTTCATGATTGGCATCTTAAACTTCCTAAACCACAGGAACGATAAAACTCATATGATGTTGTGCTTTTATATCAGTCACTGGAGCCAGAGTGTGAGAGTTAGAGCAGAAAAAAAAGAAGCCCGGCATGAGTCCTGCTCTGTCATTTTGGTGACTTACTTTATCAATATTTTTATAAACCGAACAGCTCGATTGTCACAAACAGGCGGATTTTCCAGGGTGTCACAGACATTTGACAGAGGTTTGTTATGTGAATAGATGTTGCTGTGTTAAGAAGAAAAAGACAAACGATGTGTTCAGGGAGTCTCTTGTCTTCCACAGGCCCTGAAGCTTGCAGGTGTGTTTGGCACTGAGGACACAATTTACATTCTCAGCTGAGACGGGGCAGTTTTCTCCTCATGTTGCCACTAAACTGCTGCACAGCTAGTTTAGGTCATTTCGTGAACAACGTGTGTTCACCATAAAACATAGCCAGCAGGGGCGACTCCACTGGGCTGCAGAAAGAAGTTAGATTGTGTGCAAGCTTATGAGAAAAGCTTGATTCACTTTATTGATTAGCTTAGCAAACAGTTTCCTAATGCGTTTACGGTCTCAATCTCTAGTTTCAAGTCTTCTTCCATACAGTATTATGTTCATTCAGTAAATTCTGGTCCCATTTAGAGTAAAATAGACGATGAATCAGGGTATGCTTTACCCACAAATTCCCTCTGGCACGGCCCTGACGTGTGCCACCGCACGCCGCGACGCAAACAGCACAGAGCAGATTGCGCTGGCAGGTAGTTAGGCACGGAAACAGCATAGAGAATCCAGTCAATTTTCAAAATAAAATACCGCATCCAGACTCCACATCGAATTTCACGCTACGTCAACACGTCAACACATCAACACACCTTTTTGTGTCCTTTGTAAGGATAAAATACACAAGTAAACGACGTTAAGCAGGCAAGACGCTTCTGAAACGCTCTCAGAGACAAACTCTGAAACTGTCAGACTAGGCAGTACTGATCAGATAACGAATCCAGATTCTGTCTCTGCGTTGCCTATTTCTGGCCTAAAGTGTTTGAACGTGTGAGCAGGCAGACATCTTTTCCCGCTTGAAAACGGACGAATCAAAATCAAGCACCGCCCAACTTGCAGTAATGTCCGTTGTCACTTCCATACGTTTAAGGTTTTTTGAGGTTCATCCCGTCCAGTCTCTGATGTCCGGCAGTGAGAGCGATCAGAGACACACGATGAGGACGATCAGCTGCTGTGTGTGATGTGTGTGTATCTGTCCGTAGTGCGAGCCGAGTGCCAGCAGTGACGTCTGGTCTCAGCTCAATGTTTTCCAGACGGAAAACCTCTGTCTCTTCAACAGGAAACAGATAGAAGCTTCACTGAGAGTCAAAGAGCGGGAATCCCACACCTGAGGGCTCTGGAGAGGATCACAACCCAGCTGTGTGTGTGTGTGTGTGTGTGTGTGTGTGTGTGTGAGTGCTGTTGTCTGTCACACGGCTCAGATGTGAGTACAATTCATGATTTATTAGTTTCTGTTTGTTTGTTTGCTGTTAGTTAACTCTCTCGGCTCTTTAAATGTGTGCTTCAGCTTTTAGTTTTTCAATTAAACTAAACTGATCCCTCATCCCTGCATCTGTGTCTTCAACACAGGCTAGAAAACACGATGCTACTCCGGTCGACAAACTGGCTCTAGATCGGGTCTTTCATGTTTCGTGGCCACCGTAGTTTCTCCTCCAGGAGGTTGGAGGGTTGAGCTGCATTCAAACAGGTTGCAATCTGCCATTTCACCACTAGATGCCATAAATCCCCACACACTGCTCCTTTTAAAACAACTTTACTAAAGTTTACAACTAATATTTTGACAGCGTGGAAATGCTCAAACTGCAGAAATCCAACTCTTCATCTGAAAATCTACTCGTTTGTATTAATCCGGCGTCATGACGCTTTTAACATGTTTTAACATGAGGGGTTTTTTTTACATTACAGCACTTGTCAACATCCGCTGTGCAACTATTGTCATGGGAAATGACATAAACTGTCAAACAAAGCTGGATCCATAACATGTAAATATCCACAGCTGTGTGTAATTACAGCTGCAGTTGGATATGTAAAATGAGAGAAAAGAAGAGGACAGCAATAAATAAATAACTAAAATAACTCATATTGATGAGTGCATGTTTCTGTTTTTGAGTTTTATGCATGAACGTAATAAAAAAGTTAAATTCGGTGCTCAGTTCACATGCAGCAGTTGAGCCAAACTCAAGTTCAAGTTAAGTTTATATAAGGAGGTTTTCTATACAAGGCAACATTGCACAAACCGCCTGCTTATCTGTTTTCTGCGCATCAGTAAATCTACACGGTATCAGCAGTTTCACAGAAATGTTGCAGGTCGGTGGTTCATCTCAGCCTCATTTCAGTTATTAATTAGTATAAACCAAGATATGAAATTGTTATCTAAACTAGTTTACACGAGGAAGATTATAAAAAAAAGATTACAATATGCGAACGTCCTGCAGCAAGTGTTCGGTGGAAAAAAAAAAAAAACCCAGCCGCATGTGCATGTTTACACACACAGAGAAAAGAAAAACAGTCGAGCGATGAGAAAAGAGATACTGTAAACAGAGAAATACAGGGTTGTTACAAAGAGAGATGGTTCTTAGAAAGGAAAATATACAGAGAGACATGTTTTAGATGCTTGTTGAACAGCACAGTGGAGAGAGCTGATGATAAAATCTGAATATTCCTGCTAACAGTTCGAAGCACTTCATCATTTATAATGTTTCACTCCTCTGGTGAGGTAAAGTGAACACGTTCAGCTATCAGTTGCACCTCAGTTATCGCTGTTGTTTGGATGTTTTTGATGATTTATGATCAGTAGGGATAGTGTCATGATACTACTTCACCGGGTATTTGGCAATAACTATATTGATGGCAATACACCAAAATACTGAATATATTTTGTTAAAAAACTACATTGGGCCAGTTTGGACCACACAGGGTGCGCTCTCACATGATTTATGGCTCTTAACTGGATACTTGAAATAGTGAAATAAGTTGTTGTTGCCTCTTTTTGCTGTTACCGTCTTACACTGTTTACATGTTACTGTGGTTTATTTTAGATCTAACAAATCAAACCAACAGAATCAGTTTTATTAAACCAACTCCTTCGCAGCAAAGCCGATAGAACAAAGAAAAATAAAAGCCAATTAAGTCTGTATTATTGTTACAGATAAATTGAATAAATGCGTAATACAGACAGAGAATTGCGTAAATAGTTCTCTGATCAATATTTACAGGAAATAATCTACCCAAAATGTATTAAAATAGCTCGTTTTACACAAACTTCCCGCAGTTATTGTGTTCTTATTGTCCAGTTTATTAGTTGTTCTTTACTGTAATTGAATAAAATATGTCACTTCTGTCAGTTTACTCATTGATAGAAAAAGAAGTCCCTTAAGGAAAAAGGTTGAGACTCACTGCACTAGAGCGCCAAATGTGGATTAATCCGCCACTGACAATAGTCCCCAACAAATGCTCTATTTCCTCCTGTTTGTTTGTTAAAAACTGCTGTGAGCAGCTGTTTTAGGAAACTAAACTTCTATTATAGACAATAAAGCCTAAAAAAAGGAAGAAATATTATAATTATGCTTATCTTTTAAATGTGTTTTTATATGAAAATGATCAAGATTGTCTTCATGATATTTATTCATCACAAAAACAAGACATACAGATTCAGCACAACCTGACCGGACTGACTTTTACAACAGTAAGAAGAGAAGAGACCCAGACGGGTGTGTGGCATGAGTCGTGGCTACAGTGTGGATGAAATAATGGGTCCGGATATTCCTGTAAACCTGGATGTTACTTGCTTATTTAAAGCTCAGCATAAAGCAAAAGGTCCAGGAATGCAGCCGTGACTACAAGCAATAACTGGGGAGGTCAGAAAGTAAGCACCGTGGCATCACACAGGACGCCTCGGGGGCGACGGGAAGGTCCAAACATACATATACGCACTAAACACAGACGGAAAACACAAGTCCACTGCCCTGGGAAAAGACTATGGGAGGTGTTTTTTTAATTTCTACAACCACCTGCAACATTCACAGGGTTAAATGTTCAGCTTTGTCATTCTGCTTCATAATCCTCGAAGGACTCGGCTGCAAATTCCTCCAGTTTGCCTTCATCTTGTGAGCAAGCAGATATGGGAACAGACGAAGGAGGATTAGAGAGCGGAGAGCGCCGAGACCAGGAGCTGAACCCCATAACTCAGCTGGAGGAGAGTTTAAGCCAGTGTCTCGCCACAAATCCACACAACAGAAAGATAGCATCCACGTATCGGATACTGTTCTGCGTCCACGTATCAGATACTGTACTGCGTCCACGTATCGGATACTGTACTGTACTTAGAGGAACTTTTCCAGGAACCTTTTCAAGAACTCAGGAACTCCTGACATCACCACGCCCCTGAATTATTTCTTCTAAAGGGTTGATCAACCTGAATGATCAAATAAAAACCCCCTGGTATGTAGATAGTTTTGTTGTTTTCATGTTCCAGGTTTTGTGTGACAAATTAGAGAAAAACAACCTAAGTTAATTGTCTTAGTAAGGTTATTAAAAGCTCCAGTGTGTGACATTTAGGAGGATCTATTGTTTCCATTTGTGTATAAACACCTGAAAATGAGAAATCATTATGTTTTTATTACTTTTAAATGAGACATTTTTATCTAAAGACGCTGCTGGGTCCGCCATGTTGAACCGCCATCGTAGCTTCTCGGTGGCACATTTCTAAAGGGAATCATACACTAATTCTACAATATACAGACTAATCATCATAGTATACTGTTTGAGAAGTTACCATTTTATACTGAAATTATACAGTATGTGTGTCAATCAAACTGCAACTTTGGGTCTAAAAGATCCCAATGGATATCTTAAACTTAAACACATAAAACCAAAAATATGTGCATGGCTAGATACGACTATAGGACTAAATGTGAGAAAAACACGTCTTTATTTGTTATTTAGGCGACCCAACCCTCTGAATATAAGTGCAGAAACACACACAAACACAATGAGGACTCGATGAAGGAAAAGGAGGATTTCACGGCGGCCTGCAGAGCCGATCGACCGGAGGTCAGAGATCTGTCAGGCAAAAAACTCTCCCTCCTCTCTTTCCTCACATCTGATCTGCTCTCTTAACCCTGACCTTCCCCTTCGTTTTTCTCTGTCACTGCCTCCTTTGAACATATAAACACACACGAGCAGAGATGCTGACGCTCAAAGCTGATACCACAGCGGCCGATTAGAAGCTCTGCAACTGGTGAGGTGGACAAAAAATGAGCTTACACGTAATATACGGTGGATTCCTGTGCTGTTTGTGGTTTGCAGAATAATAATCTAGAAAATTTCAAACTCAATCTTGAAGTCTATGTGCATTTTGGAGGTAGTTTCATCAGTGTTACAAGCTGTAGGTGTGAGAGGTGTGAATTTCCTTTACAGCAAGCAATAATACAAACTGTTCTGCATTATTTTGCCTCCTGATTTTGTTACTGACACGAAACTAAAGGACACATAGGACCAAAAAGGAGTTTCTGCACCGTGCACCTTTTTAAAAATCTGATCAGCTAAAAAAATCGCCTGTTTCGAAACTAGGTCTGTGGTTGGTTTGCTACCTGAACAAAAGCACTGAAAGTGGGTCAAAACAGAGATTATGATCCTTCAATGCGTCTATGCCACAGACTGAATGTGAAGTCTGTGATTTGCACCAAGGAGCACCTTCTCCTCTGCTGCGTGGGACTTTCACACGTACTCTTGTTCTGATTGAAAACACAAAAGGAAACCGTTGTGGTTTTAAAAACCCTGCGCGCAGTATTTCTACATCATGGCCTCAACCTTTTCAACTCCTGTTCTTTAAACAGAAATGTCTAAAAATGACCCAGAATCACACGTCTGAACCACACGGATGGCAGATAAGACTTTTTATTGGCAGCTGAAACCTCATATTTGACTTGTTTGAGTCACTTGTAAAGAACGTTTTTATTGTTACATGCTTGAGTTTAAGCAAATAAAAGCAATTAATTTAAATTTTACAGTTAATGCAAATAATTTCCTGGTTTCTTCATTAAAACTCAAATAAATGATCAAGGTGCTAACTGGTGCATTTTGGGGCATTGAGCTCACTTCCTGTGTTTGTATCACTGTGCAACAGCTATACACTGGATATAAAACTGATGATGTGATATTAAGAAACACAGAGCTCATCATTTTTCCAGCCGCACTCTGCAGACAGAAATATTCACACTCATTCTCAGTTGCTGACTGTAGCCACAGAGAAAGTGAGCAGACACTGAACTCACATCATTGGGTTCGTCTGTGTTGTTGGTCTGGCAGGCGATGGCGACGGTGGGGTAAACGACAGACCAACCTTTCTGTGTACAGTTCCTGCTGAGGTTACCTGAGACACACAAACACACACAGACTTTAAGACTCTTCCAGAACTGAAACAGTCAAGTCTATTTTATAGAAATAGCCCAAAATCAAAAAATAGTTTCTGCAATCTGCACAACATATGAGACCCTTAAAGGACCAGTGTGAAGGATTTAGTGGCATCTAGTGGTGAAGTTGTAGACTGCAACTAACTGAGCACCGCTGGCGTCTGTATTTGACGACCTGGAAAGAACGGGGAAAATGTGTAGGACAAACTACAGTGGCCGGAAAACTAACAAAAACACAACGATTCCTATATTCAGGTGATTATACACTGATTAAAACATACCCATGAATATTATATCCAATTACTGACAATAGAGCCTCCTAAATGTTTCACACTGGACCTTTTAATCCTTAAAAACACCTGGAATAAAAAGGAATAAACCTCTGGAAACTCTTCCAGGAGGGACAGATATGCAACAGAATATGGAAAATCACAATAACAGTATCAGGTCAAACTAGCATCAATTTAAATTTTTATGTCACAGTCTGCTTCACTGTCCTTCCACTTCTCCAGACCTGTCCACCAGAAACCCTCTGACTTGTCCTCCAGCCCGCCCTGCTGCCCTGCAGATACCTGACCTTCCTCTCTCACCTGTTTTCAAGCATATACGGCAAAACTCTCCTCTTCTTTTTTGTTCTCATATTTAAAAAGTGGCCATCTAATCTCATATCAGAGTGTGTTGACAGACAGGAGAGTGCGAACATTTAACGGCTTCAGTCAACAACTTTTGATGTTGAGCCGCCGTTGCTCTGCTGTGTTGCGCCGATTACACAGCTCATCCTTTAACCCGCCCGAGGTGCCGGTTTCCGTCTGTGCATGGGAGAGCAGGGAGGTGGATAATGGGCCTGCTGACAGACGCCGCTGAGGGAAATCACGGAGTAAGTCGGACAGCCCAGATGTCGTCAGCGGCCTCGTGAATAATTAGACTCATTAACTGAAAAGAGCCCGAGCAGCGCAGGATGGAGGAGGGGAGGAAAACACAGAGAGGTGGAGGTGGAGAGGGTAGTGAGAAGTTCAGGAGGACAGAAATGGGAACACAACTTTATCTGAGGAAGGTTTCTTGTTCTTTTTAAAATATTATTATTAATAGATTAATAAGCAATAAAAAAAACTTTTTTAATTTTAATTAATTTTATTTGCCAAAACGAACTGAAATGTTAAATAAATCACAGAAAATTGTCATATAACCACAAGGTGGATTATTTGTTTGGATATAGTTTTCAAACTAAACTTGCCAAAGACACTTTTCAGCTGTTTTGCTTTTCAAATTTAACCATTTGTTGTGCCAGTTGAGCCACTTCCACCATTATTTCTGTGAAAAAAAGGCCATTTTAATAAATTTTTTCCAAGTGTTGACACAAAGCGTTTCTGTTCATCTTTAAAACATTTTTATTTCGAACGGCGGAGAGGCCGAATCTTAACTGAAGAGAGGAAATCGGATTGAAAGAGAGTGATGCAGAAACAGAGAGAGTGAGGGGTGAGGGGAGATTAGGATGAGGGGAGGATGATGGGAGAGAGGAAAGAGAAGCAGGAGGAAGTGGAAAAGAAGAGGTGGAGGGATGAAAAGACCTGCCGGCCTGTAACGTGTACACATGACAGAAGATCAAGAGGATCAAAGGCAGAGGGACAAGAGGCAATCGACATGATGGATGAAGCAGAATGAGTCGACTGAAAGACGAGAGATGGTGAAATTAGCTGTGAAAGAGACGGCTGGGAGGAAGGAAACTGCTGGCTGAGGTCACAGTCAGTTGATACAGACTCAGCTGGTTCAGTTCAGGACAGACGGATTATTACAACAACACTTTCTCTCTGGACCTGAACCAGAACAACCACAAACAGAACGTGATGATTTTAATAAAGGAATATCTTTAACTTGTTTCACTGTTTGGATATGAGCTGCTTTAATCATTTTTAAGTTATTGGAAATTAATCTGATTTTAAGTTCCACCTTCATGACTCAACTTACTATAATAATAGTTGAAATATGACTAATAATAATAATAATATTAATACAAGAATTTAATTTTAGCCTGATTTTAACATCAGAAAATTACAGGTCATCCAGGTTTTTGTGTCCTTATACTTGGAATTAGCTAATTGATTAGTTTCATCTGACTTAATAGATATAATTGAGTATCATCTGCATAACAATGAAGATTGATGGAGTGATTCCTAATAAGGAAGGTGAATAGAAATGGTCCAAGCACAGGACCTTGTTAACATGCCAGAAGCTGTCATATATTGACTGTTTATCCAGTCTGAAGCCACATTGTTACCATCCACTGTTTAGATCTTGGTGCTTTTTAACTCTAGATTTGAACCGGATGAAGGATTTTAGTCATCAGACGTCTGGATCTTAAGTTATCAGAGAAACGAGCTGAGCTAACGTTAGCAGCAGCTCGGCTCACAGCCCCTCCGGGACGTCCTTTGTCTGTCCAACAGCGTGGGAGAAGCAGTGATTGGTAAGGTGGAACTGCTTTATTCAGTGTGTTTAAGGTGGAACTGCTTTATTCAGTGTGTTTAGTGGTTTTAATCATCAATCTGTTTGTTTTGGAGAGGAGGAGACCTCTGTGGATCATTGGGCTCCCGGTAGAAACCTCCTGAACCATGAACACTGAAGGGATCCTAACCGGGAGAAGCTGACAGCAATGACGGCAATGGTGGTGAAGACAACAACTCCCATGATCCCACACTGCTTTACCACTTCATCACACTTTATCGATCTAATATCTTCTGCAACATTTGAGCTTCTCCTCTCAAGCTATGCTCAATGCTCCATAAATTACCACTTTAGACGTGTTAACAACCACCTAGCAGGCAATAAATCATGAGCCAGTGAACATGTGTAGAACTATACACCAAAAGAAACTCCAAAGGTTAACACCACATCACTGTTTCCTCTTGAAACTCCCAAAATGATTCCACAATACGTCCTCAACTCTCCTCTTTTCCCTGTTACAGAGACACATTTTCATACTCACTAAAATATCCAGATATGAACATTTACAGGAGATACGACACCAATGTCGTGCGAGCGAAGAAAGACTCACCGTTTTTTCCAAACAGGTGCAGGAGAGGGGAAGGGCAGGGGAGGGTCATCACCTCGCCAACCGCCGCGCTCTGCCAACAAGACACATTGTCCCACTCACCGCGGCATCCTGTACACACAGACACACACACAAGCATTAGAGGTATAAATTAGGCTGACAACTTCCTGTTTGAGCTTTAAAACCCACTGATCCGGTGCCTGCTGCCTGCTGACAAGCAGTCGGGACATAAATCAACATAAAAGCTCTTTTACACCTCTTATGTTGTGACATTTGGCTCTAATGTACATCCAGAAATCCCTAATTTAACACCTTAAATGCCTCTTACTTATATTTCAAAGTAAGAATGACATTTTATTGGTTAAAACAACAAACTCTAAATGTTGTTTATTACTCAGTCTATGAGAATATTCATTTAAACTGCATCAAATTCAGAGATTTAAGGGATATTTTAGTATTTTAAGGTTTTATAAGATTGGGTTTGCATTTATTAATTAGCTAAAAATATATTTGTAATGCATGAGACAAAATATTTCCACATTTTGGAAGTTCTGCTCTTTTGCAACCTTCATTTTTCTTCCAATTCTCGGTTCTGTAGTAGAAATGTAAAGACAATAACTTTGTTCCTCCTCAAAGAACAAACTTGTTCCTCTTTTTAATTTGTTATTAACAACTACAGGATCAGTGGTGGCAGAAGTATCTCAGATCTTCTACTTGGAAGTAGTAATAAGTCCTGCATTCAAAATGTTACTTTAACCTGTAATAATACTTTTATTTGTGAGTATATTTAGAATTATTAATCTGAACCTGCGCAGTAGTGCCAATGTTTAGATATCAAAACAGAGAAAAGTCATGTATAATGTCATTATTCCATGCACATTACAATCTAATATACATGTAAATTACATATTATATTATATTATATTAACAGGGTGTTTGGATGGATTTTTTTATTCATTAATGAAACAGAAAGATACACTGAGTTATGCTGTAGATTTCAGAATTTGTTATAAGAGAGTGAGATACGTTATGTTAGAAGAGACGTCATTCAACTACATCATCATATCGGCTCCATGAGCGCAGACATCAGTCGGTACCGATTATGTGAATTAATGCCGATTAATCAGTCAACCTCTACTGCAAAGTAACTAGTAACTAAAGTTATCATATAACTGTTGTGGAGTAAAAAGTAAAACATTTCCATCTGAATTGTGGAGTTGAACTATAAAGTGGCAAAAAATAAGCATGAAAATATCCATATAAAGTACAAGTACCTCAAAATTGTACTTGTGTGCAGTACTTGATAATGTACTTAGTTACTTTCCACCACTGATGAGGATACTTTCTGTATTTAAAGATAAAAGATATAAAAATGTTTAAAATAACAGCACTGCATCTCAAATATGACCTGATGGTGTCTAACAAGAGAATCTGATGGGGGTTTGTCCCTTAAAGATACAACTCTGGTGAGTTTAACACTCACTCACACACACACACACACACACACACACACACACACACACACACACACACGACTATAGACAGGCGTGAGAAAAAACCCACAGTCCACAAGCTGCAGACCACACAGATAAAACGCCTTCTTATTATCGCTGTGGCGAAACATTCAAACACACATGACCTTTTAGAGAGCAGCTCTGCGTAGCATGTACTGTATCTGTATCTGTGTGTGTGTGTGTGTGTGTCTGTGTGTGTGTGTGTGTGTGTGTACTTCCTGTGGTCCACTGAAAGATAAATAAATGATTAATAGCGAGTGTGTTGCAACACAGCGTCCAGACACACCCTCCTCTTCACATACATGACTATCGCACTCACTCACACACACACACGCCTATAAACACACACACACACACACACACACACACACACATCCACACACGTGTATTATTAGTATTTCTTGCTTCCAAAGATGTTAGTCACCATAAAATCTCTCCGTCCTGCATTTATTTCACTTTAGAGCTGATGGGGGTTTCCAAACAATTTCTTCTTTCTTCTGTGTGTGTGTGTGTGTGTGTGTGTGTGTGTGTGTGTGTGTGTGTGTGTGTGTGTGTGTGTGTGTGTGTGTGTGTACCTGTGCTCGCAGGCGTCTGTTGCTGCAGTTGTGTCTGACACTCTCTCTTGGCTCTCTGTATCTCCCAGTAGAACTGGCAGAGAGTTAACTTTCCATTAACCTGTCGGGGACGAGAGGAAATAAATATTATGAATATTATCTCCAACGTGAACAAAACCTCCAGCATCAGTTAAAAGTTCAGACTCTGCTGGTATCTGATAAACGTGCTTCAGTTTTCTGGACTAAAGTTCACGTTTCTGTGTCTGAAAACTTTCTCCAGGAGGTCTCAGCGGATGGAAATGTTGATAAATTGCTCCCTCGGATCAGAAATTCATGTCCTTGTGCACTCAATTTGCTTCTTTCATTCCCTAATGTTAATCATGTGCATCACTGTTTTATTAAATTTCATCCAAACAAATTAAAATCGCCAAATATTCTTCAGGGATGTCCTAGACAACATCTTCAACATCCCAGACAAAACATGAGATATAACTGCGCATCTCAGACCAAGACAAATATAAAAATGTTGTGAATCCAAGTAGTCAGTGGCACTGAGATAAGGGTTAATTAAATTAGGGTGATAACTTACTGTAGTATTCAAAGTGTGACAATGTAGGCAGCCCTCAGACAACTGTTAAACATACAGTACGTCATTTCTGCCACTAGACGGGGGTCTCACATCAAAACAAAAGCAAAAGATGAAGTTATATGACGATGAAGAAGTGTCCATCACCGCCACAGAGGTCTCCTCCTCTCCAAAACAAACAGACCCGCTGATTAAAACCAGTAAAAACACTGAATAAAGCAGTTCCACCTTAAAAAAATCTGTGTTTGACGGACAAAGGACCGTGCTTCTACGTTAGCTCAGCTTGTTTCTCTGATGATGACGACCAAAAACAAACAAATCTGTTTTTTTAAGTCCCAAACTGCTGAACTGCTTTAACTCTTGGAGATAATGTAAAAAATAAAAAATAAAAACATTAAAAAATATGTTTTTCTTCTTGCTTTAAGTTAATTTAATAGACTGTAAACTCCAGGTCTGACCTCTGCAGCCCAAAGCTAATCTTCAGTTATTGTTAATGAGCTTCACCTCGCCAGCAGCTCCTGTAGTGACGTTACAAACCAAACTTTTGTGCTGCTGATAAACGCCAACCTAGAGCCTGTGTGTGTGTGTGTGTGTGTGTGTGTGTGTGTGTGTCCTGGTACCTCTGACGGTAACCAAGGACACACACACACACACGCACTCAAACAGAGTGTAAACAAAAGGGCAGAAACACACTCAAACATAATGAGTCCGTGTGTCAACTCGACTTCATTGATATACTGCGAGTGTGTGTGTGCCGGGAGGTCTGTTTACACTGAGATACCCTACCAGCTCTCAGCAGCATTTCAGAACTGTCAGTGTGTTTATACCTCACACACACACACACACACACACACACACACACACACACACACACACACACACACACACAGGTTAGGCTTTTGTTACTTCCCATCGAGCCATCATTCGGAGCCAAGCGGCCGATCAAGCTGCCACCTCGTCACGTTAACCAATCAAACATCGCTTCAGTTCTGTGTGCTGGTCGACTGACATCGGTGTTTCAATGCTGACATCAAATAAAAGTCCTGTATAATTCTGTTCTGTTCTATAGGAGCAGGATGCATTAGAGTTATAGTACAGGTATAGTACTCGACACCAACTCTTTCACCATCTTCCCACAACTCACAAGGTGGAGCGCCATCGTTCCACAGCGGCCCGCAGGTGTGTCTGAAGGTATTTATCGGTCCAATTAATCCCTCAGTCGCTAATTCTGTCTTCAACTGTGCATGCTGAACGCTCCACAGACGACTGGAGCTGCATTTATGCTTTTTTTCTCCACTAATGGGAAAAAACAGCCCAAACTGAACATACAATAGTCCGTCTCTTCATACGTTATGTCTGTAGCTCTCAGCTCCAAACCCATTGGTTCCTACTAAAGATGTAAATCTTTAAAAAACAGCTCATATATATTTAGTTTCATCTCTAAAAAAACTAAGAACAGGAGGAAATAGAGCATTTGCTATGGGACTACTTTCAGTGGCGAATTAATCCACATTTGGTTCTCTAGTGAGCATTCAGGGGCGGCAGGACGATGTATTTGTGAATAAGTGAAAATAAACTTCAGTGTGCGAGAACTAAAAACATCAAATACGAACCGAGTTTCCAGAAACGTCATATAAACATCACCTCAATGCACCAATTATTCTTCAATTTAATGCTTAAAAGCTTGTTGATGCTCGCTTCTTATGTCGACTGATAAAAAGTCTGATGGTGATCTGGTGCGTTCAAGTACGGGCGGGGGAAAAAAAGATGATATCTGGGGTTTCCACTTCCACAGCAGCACAACAAATGATGTGTATCAGGCTGCTTCCTTCTCTATAAAAGCTCCAACAGTAAAGCTTCAAAGTAGGATAATAATCCTGATGATTCATTCGTCTGGCAGATTTCACTGCGGAAAAAACAAGTTGGAGACTTTTAGTCTGCAATCGTTTGGCTTCTTTCTTCTTTCAAGAGCTGAACATTTCATCAACGTTTTATCTTTTTCTGACAACTTTAAGTTCAAACTGAGTAAATTTGGATGAGCAGATGATGAATCTGAAGGTTTTAAGGGTCAATTTAAATTCTCAACTGTTACAAGTACTGCAACTATTTCACCTGAAAAAAGGCTTTAATGATGAAAATGAAGGATGAAGGCTACTGATGTGAGCTCCAGGTGTGCCTCGTGGGGGCGCCGTGATCCTCGCTGGCCTTTTAAAACTTTCCTGATTTGGATTCGTGTCTTTTTTTCTGCTTCTCAAAACACAATCTATAAATAGAAAGTGGCAAAGGGCAGAGGATAAACCGTATGACCTCATTTAATCCACCGCCAGTTTACAAACAACATAATCTCTGTCATCTAATGAGCTGGAATACACACAAACACACACACACACACACACACACACACACACACACACACACACACACACCGATTCATTTCCGATATAAAATGTTCTGGATTAAATTAAACAAAAGAATGTTTGTTTTTGTAATCCTGAACTTGTCTGACCTCAACTGCGTCCAAAAACTGCAGATTAGATCCGATTTGTTGACGAGGGGACAGTGAACGCACCACGTTTTCTCTCGGTTACTGATGCTGGAAGACTTCGGCGAGTGCAATCCCTCTTCGGTTGAGTCTAACGTGACATTTAAACGGATTTGATTGTTTTAAACACGAGTCGACAAATCAAAACAAAACAAAAGACATCACTGACCTACGATGACTTCGGCTCTCAGATCTCTGATTGACTTCTTGGGAAAACTGGGTTATTAATAGATTTATGCAGCTGTTGTTAATCTTTATCTTATTCTATTGGGTATAATCATGCTCTACGTTTTGGAAGTACAGCTCCAATAATGCTTTATAAACAGGAAGTATAACGTTGCTAAGGAGTCACTTTAGCCGAGGGGGTTTTTAAGTCTATATTTTTTCATATTTTGGATAATTTGCATCGTTAACTCTTCATTTCTTTAAGTTTCATGTCCCTAAAATCAGTTTAACCTATAAACTAAAAGGTTAATAAGTCAATAAATCATAATCATTTTTAAAAAACAAGAAACATGGTGATTCAACAGATTTCTAAACGTAGAAACATGAACAGAATATTTCTGGACTCTCCAGAAAGTCTCGTTTTTTAAAGAGATGCTAATTTTTACTTTCATTTTTTAGCTGCTCTTTTCTTCCCGCTCTTCTCTATTCAGCGCCAATCAGCTGGCGCCGTCACCCAGACTGCAACACTGGGATCTTACAGATGTTAAAGCTTTCCGCTGCAAAAAGAATCAATGCTCTCACTATTATAGTTTTTATTTTAGATCAATTTAAACAGGAAACAGACAAGACAAAGACAAACTACTGCTTAATAAAACCTTAAAATGAGATGATTCTTCTTCGATTCTGCAGGTTTTCGTCTTTCGATTTCCAATCAGATTTATGGGTGTTTCTTTATTATTATCATCAACACACAGAAAGTGAAACTACAGTCTGAGTGTGTGTCGAGCTGAGTGACTCTCTCCTCTTTTAAAGCCGTCAGACACAACAGTTCAGCCACGTCTGTCAACATGAGAGCAGTTCACTGACGTCACCCTGCAGGATTTTCAAGCTTCGAGTTCAACACTTAGTCAAAAATAAGGATTAAACCACACAGCTTAGCTCCCGTCGGCGCAGTTAGGGAGATTAAGAGACTTTCTGAAGTGTTTGTAAATATCTCTCTTTAACTCTTTACCTCTCAAACTGTCAATCAAATGAGCTTATGTCACAGTTTGAACCCTGCTGGCAGGACTCTGCTCTCTGATAAGATCAATATAGGAAGCAGAAGTCATTAGCCTTTAGAGGAAAGTACACACACACACACACACACACACATACAGGTTTGACGTATATAGTGTAACACACACACACACACACACACAGAGAGAGAGAGAGAGAGAGCTGACACATTTATTTTGTGACTGTGAAAGTCTGACGCAGTGAAAATGTGAAACGTTTCTTGTCCAACGTTTGATTTTTTTGCTGCATGAACACAGTTTAAAAACCCACCGTCACACTCGTAGGTCAATCATTAAAATATCTGACATCTGATACAAAATCAATGCAATAAGATTTCAAGCTTAAAGCTTCTTGAAGGGGAAACAAAAAGGGAGAAGTGTGAATTTAGTCACCTCAAACAAAAACATAAGAGACTGGAAGCTGAGGGACTTTATGATTTAACCGAAGCAAACAACTAAATCGTGAAGGTTTTGAAGGTTTGGAGGGTTTTTTAAGCTTTTTAATGTCCATTTACATCTATAATGTTTGTAAAAAAAAAAAAACAGCTTATAATTAAAATAATGAGCTAGAAAATGCAGATTTTCCACCTCCAACTGAAACTTTTCTGTCATATACATCCAGACTTTTGGGTCTTTTTAAGGTAAATCTTAAATGAGTCACATTTTCTCTGACTGGAGTGGATTTCTGGAGCCACTTTACAACATTTCCACAGAAGTAACATTTGAGTTAATCATCCACTTGAATCGTCTGCTGTTGTTTCTAGAAGATAAAAACTTCTACAAATGAACTGAAGGTCCAGGATGAGTGTAACGGGCAGTTTATCATGACTGTTTATAAAGCAGAGCCTGCAGGCTGCTGGTTGAGCTAAATTACAGTCCAATCAGTGTTTAATTAATGACACTGAACGCAGCATGGTGGAAGTTTATATGATGGAAAGACAACATGATTATTGCGCAATTCACGGTGGGGGCTAGAACCCCCTAAATGAACACATTATTTAAACAGTCTCAGAGGGAAAATTAGAGGAAATAAAAGGAAATCAAGCAGAGTAAGGTCACTGTGTCTCAGTATTATGGCCTAATTAAGCTAATTAAAACTAAATATTTACAACCACAAGAGATCAGCATGTTGAGTAATTCTGCAGGAATGTCGCAGAAATCCTTTAAAATGTCACAAACTCCCCATAAACACCCAAATAAATACCTTTTAAAACGTGTGACACCTTGTTTACCTCCATATTTTATAGATAATAATGATATATTAATAAATTAATCTCATTAATCCTGGTAATTAACGAGGCACTGACCGTGTGCAGGACGGTGAAGCCGAGCAGGAGCAGAGCGAGCCGGTGCGTAAAGGGCATGGTCGCATCTCATCCAGCGGAGGGTTGAAAGGGTTAAAAGCACCTGAAGGGGCAGCTCATCGGACTGACATCCTCGGCAGGAAACACGTGTGGTGACCTGATACCAAACTGCAGTCTGGGAACTATTGTGGGTGTCTGTAACGCGCAGAGGTGTCCGCCTGTAAGTCCGGTTTTGGCGCGTTGGTTCGGCAGCTTTTACGCACGGTTTCATCCAGTCGGACCTGAAACAGAATCACACCTGATCCAAACTGGTTCCTGTTTGAGGTTAAAGATCCGGGACAGACGGTGTGTGTGCTGAGTCCAGTACGCGGTCTGGTCCCGGTTCACTCCTCCTGTTCACTTTTAAAGCGCGTCCCCGTCACACGCGTCCCTCAGGACACCCCGGACCGATGCGCGCTCCCGCCGACAAGACCTGAAGGAGTTTCATGAGTTTTTTTAATTTGAAATAACAACAGTGACACCGTGTGGATGAACTCAGAACTCCTGCTAATAATACATAGATAAATCAATATGTGAGGTTACAGTAAGTTTCCAAACACTGGTCCAGAGGCCCTCAGAGGGTCCTCGAGTTGGACTCCAGTGGTCCAACATTCAAAATAAAACCCACATTTTATCTTTAAATAACGTAATAGTCAATAAAAATGACTTTATTTATTCAGAATGGACTAAAACAATGTAACGGCTGATTATAATATATAAAATAATACAAGAAATCCACTAAGCACCTTGCCTTTATTTCCTCATCCAGGACCGTAATAATGTTAATTTATTTATCAATGGATTAATGGAGAAAATGATCAGCAGATTGATCCAGAATGAAAATAATTAGGAGTTGCAGCTGCAGAATAGTTCCAAATGAGCTCAAACAGCTTCAGTAAAATCCTGCTTTTACATTCCTTTAATACTTTAAGTGCATTTTCCTGATTACATTCTTTTACTGAAGTAAAGGATTCTTCCTCCTGCACTGATCTGAGCTGTTTTTATTGCCTCTTCTGCCTCATTTATACTGAAATAAACCTCCAAAATGTTGTGAGTTTAATGTTGTTTGAGGCAGATGAAAGGACGGAGGATAAGAAAGGAGACTCCATCATCCGTCTGACCCCCTCACAGATCCTCCAGTCCAGTTTATGATACTGAAATCAGTCAGGAATGCTTTTAGAGTCCGAGCAGACCCGAACCAGAGAGGACAGGAAGTTAGAAGCAGAAGGAACAAGATAAAAAAAAGTTTAAAGAAGTTTTATTGTGTCTGTTTCTGTAAATATTGTGACTCTTTATGATAAACCGAAGACACAGAAGTTATAAGATTTAACATAAATACAGTGTAAAGATTTAATGTCACACAGAAAAGTTTGATAATTAATTAATTATAAAGGTTTTTTTAGTGTAACATTTGTATAAAAAACTTTATTCAGATAAACTAATAAAGGAGAAATGTTGCGTATGAGACATAACTTCAATTAACTGAATTTAAATTGGTACAAATAACTTAATTTACCTTCACAATAAATACTTGAGTTTCTTCTAATCAAATATCTTTCATATCTTTAATAAACTTAAACAGTTTGAGTTGAACTAACTCAGGACAAAGTCGACTAATCATCAGTTTATTCAAACAACCGTCTGTTATAGTTTGTAAATTAATTAAGTCATTATTAATTAACAGTGGCGGCAAAACACACGTTCCTTTCCCCGAGGAGAAGTACAGATACTGGAGAAAAATATTGATTCATTGAGTATAAAAGTTCTCTGTCGGTGTCTCTGAAGGAAACTTATATCAGCTGTTTCTGTGCAAAACCAAAACTACAAACATGGCCGAGTTATGTAGTTTTTAAAAACAACATAATAATAATAATAGTTATTGATATTCTAAAGAAAGTAATGAGCCTGTTTTTTAAAATGTAGACGCAGATATTTGTGTTAAAATGTGGAGACTTACAGTATAAACTTGTTAAATACTAAACATTACTTAGTACTTAAATATCTGTATTTTATTATTTATCTGCATATAAATGTTTAAAATCTGAAACCTCAGAACTATTAAATTGTAGATTTACCATTTCCATTTCATTTTCCTCAAAGCTCTGATGAAGGTCATTAATGTTGTTTTTAACACAATTATTCCCCGAAAAGTTTATTTTATTTCTCTTTTCCTCCAAAATAATTCAACTGTTCCCCACAGCCTCACCGGGCCGCTTTAAAACCTTTAAAATCTTTAAAACCTTTAAAATCTTTAAAACGTAGATTGTTTTTCATCTGGAGGTCTCTCAACAGTTTGATTTCATATAACTTACAATATACAGTCGTTCTCTATTTATAATGTATATTTAGTCTCCTGAAGCATCCAAACAAACAGTCATATAATAATAATAATAATAATAATAATAATAATAATAATAATAAGAAGAAGAAGAACAAGTCTGAGTTTTAGCCAATCAAAGCACTTTATTGCACTGTATAGTGTGACGGTGAGCCAATAGCAGGCTCTTATAAAAGTGTCATTTAATCTTTTTTATCATGTGTACAAAACAAGTCACACACACTTGTACCGTACAAAATCAACACTATTTACATACAATATACACACACACACACACACACACACACCTAACACACACACACCATGCAGTCTCTCTCCCATCCAGTTCTGAACACACAAAGACGAGTCCTCCGGGTTTTCTGATGGGATTTCCTTCTTATCGAACATCCTCCACCTCACACACACACACACACACACACACACACACACACACACACACACACACACACACACAGGGACTGAAACATGACCGCTACGCTGCTACCAACAAAACCCAAACTGCTAATGTCAGCCAAACAAGCGCTAAGCAACTTCTGATATGCATAAAAGTCTTTTCTTCTCATATAAAAAGAGGGCAGAAGACGGTGAGACGCACCAACGAAGAAGAATAAAGAACGATGAGATGATGTCATGAGATACTTTATCCACTGGGATGTAAACAAACAAACAAACAAACAAACAAACGTTTATGACTTATTCTAAATAGCGCCGACACTGAATATAAGTCTGAGTCCAACCCGCAGCGTCACGGGTCGACAGCTACGTCCAACAGTGCGGTGATTACCCATAATTCACAGCAGGCGTGGGTTTATTAGTCGTATTTTAGTTGATTATTGATCTGTAATCGTGTAACGTTAGAGGCAGTGCACATAAAGCCCGGAGGACGTTCTTCACTGCAGAAAAAGACGACGACAGCTCGAATGAATCTGAACTTTTTGGTGTTTTTCTTAGAGACTCAGACGTCCTTATAAAGGCTGTAAAGGTGTAAAACACTGAATCTAAAACATAAATAACTGAGGTTCAATGGAAGTATGTGGTCGGCTACTGAGGCAGATTTGTGGTGCGTTTAAGTACCATCTCCCTCTTTTCTTCTATTTTTCATTATGACAACTTTAAATTGAATTTGGACTTTAAAGTTTTTTAAAGTTTCAGTTGAATTCTTCTTAAAATACAAAAATCTGTGGATCCATTATCAGGTTTCGTGTTGACGCCCTGCAGGCAGATTAATAGGTGATATAAAATCTTGAATAAATACAATAATAACAATAAAAACTGCTCATTTTCAAGTTCTTTGTTGTTTGTGCCAAAGAATATTTCACTGTCTGAGCAGAGATTTAGAGAGATGCTGTAGTTCGGTTATTTGTGGTTCCAACGGACAAAAATCAAAGGCAAGTTTGGTTTTGACTGTTTTATTTAAACGTGTTCAATCGAGTGAATTCCTGCCATGTTTCATCATTTTAAAGTCAAACAATCAGGAGGTAAAAAAAAAAAAAAACCCAAACAGAAGACAAATATCTAACGAACGAGGGAGTTCGGTTCGGGATCAATACGGCTGTTCATCGTCTGCAGCGAACGACGTCCTTCACGAGGCGTTATTGCTACAATATGAGCTCTTTTATTTCCTGTAAACTTCATCTACAGTTTCCCTTCTTCGTCCCGTCGGCCTCCAGATTGCCGTTAATCGGCGTTCGTCAGGCTGCGTTTTTATCCTCGACTGCGTCACGTCTGGCCCTCTTTTCGCTTTCTGATTCAAATAAATAAAGTTTCCCTTTAAATAACAATATTCCCTCTTTTTTCTTCTATATTCACACAGTGCACACTTTGCTTTGCTTTGGGTGTTTTGTTTTTAAGGATTTCACAGGTTAGTCATTTAGTTATAAAGTAACTGAGAGATGAAAACTGATGATTATTGTGCATGTTGCACTTTAGGTTTAAATTCACTCCTTTATTTATAGACATTGCACTTCAATTTGGGGTGTTTTCTCCCTAAAAACACAGTTTTTGCCTCCAAACCTTTAACAACTTAAAGATGATTTAACGTCAGGTTTTCTTTTTCCCGCCTGCAGCTTCAAGTCTCCATAAAAACAACAAAAAAAAAGTGTCTTACTTGTTCGTATAAGGGTTTAAAATCTGTCGCGTGAATCACATTAAAACTATGTAAAATGTCCCTGTCACACATTAACACAGACAGATGAACACACACACACACACACACACACACACACACACACAGGGTGCAGGTGGAGAGAGCTGCATATAGGGGCTACTATACCTCATTGTGTTTTTAGGTACCTCTCCATATAGATTATTATGTCTATGTACAATATTTATATTTTTACAATAATCTGGCTGCCCCTGTTCTAATTGAAATAATACCACAAAGCTCTTTTTTTTTGTTGTTGTTGTTGTTGTTGATTCGACCAGTAAAACATGTTGACAGATACAGTCTCTAGTATTTTTCTCTCTCTCTACTTTTTTACCTCCTAAAAACCTCTGAAAACGTCGAGCGGTGCGGCCGCCCCGTACACAGTGTTCCCCTAAGGCTTTCTACAGTGACGAGCTCCCAGTGACGGTCACGAGATTGAACGGGGGTGTAAACAAAAAAAACAACAAAAAAAAAAAGAAAGAAAAAGATCATCATCATACCACCACTGAGCGAGCAATCAATCAATCAATCAATCTGTCAATCAATCAGCCAATCGAACCCCGAATTCGGCACGAACACGACTTTAAAGAAAACGGACGATTTTAAGACCACACCATATGCAGGTTCAAAAATACAGTACATCTTGATTTTGGGAAATAAATGAACAACAACGGCGATATGCACGGCATACGAACGCATGCTAGCTCTCTCTCTCTCACACACACACACACACACACACACACACACACACACACACTCAGGCTACATGTTGTAGGCCACGTAGATGGGGTCCAGCTGGTCTTGTAAGAAGCCGTCGCGGAGGTGCATGCGCTGTTTCTCGCCGCGGGAGTTGATGGGGATGACGCCGATGTCCGTCACCACGACGACGCCCACGATCAGGTAGTGCTCCTCCAGCACCGCCTTGGTCACCATGGGAACCAGGTCCAGGGCCTCCTGCTCGGAGCCCTCCAGCTCCACCACCACCACCAGCAGGTTGGTCCAGGGGAAGACCGCGCTGAGGAGGAACACACAGGTTTTATATATTCAGTGTGTTCTCTACTCTTTCCACTAGAGGGCAGCAGAACACATCTGACACATTGATAACACCTTCAGGACGGAAAGTACTCCATTACATTAATTACATTACTTTATTAATCAAGCATTATGAGTCAGGTAAGATGTTGAATTCAAGACTTAACCAGAACCAAGAAACATGATCACTGCCTTTACTGATTTCACTTCTTTTACTTCTACTAGTCTTTTATCTCCTAAAATGTTTATCTTGTTTTATCTGGTTGAAATGCTCTTTAAAAAACAGATGATCTTATGCTCTTGTTTGATTTGTACTCATTTTGTTCAGCACTCTAACAGATTGGAAGGTGAAAATACTCTAAAATGTTGTTCATATGTTCATAAACAGTTTGTACAATGTGTAGAGAATTCCATTAACAGTATAAATGTTGTCAGACTTGCACATAAGAACTTTAAATCCCAGTTTTAGAGGTTCATTATGCAATAATACAACTGTACAGGACGGTAGTAAAGATGGTGAAACCGAACCGAGACCTACCACTCCATGATGCTCTTGTGAGCGCGGATGACGGAGGTCTCGATGTCGATGGGATGGTACCTCATCCCCCTCAGCTCCATGGCCTCCTCCAGAGCTCCCACGACGAACAGAGCATCGTGTCTCTCTGGGGAAACACAAGACAGACGAGAGAGGTTGCGTTGGTGATGGCGTGGCGGGCGGAGAGACGCTGAGGAAATGTAGTCAGAGAGAGAGAGAGAGAGAGCAACTGACCTCCGTTGGCGTCGGTGAGCTCGGTGCGGCGGAGGAAGCCCAGGTAACCCGTCCTGGCCCAGACCGTCTGCGTGTCTCCAAAACTGAGTCTGGAGTTGAAGTGATCGGACTGGAGAACCTCCTCGCCGTAACCGCTGTAGTAGCCGCTGCCGTTGTGAGCGCTGTGCACCCAGATCTGCAGCACAGAGTCCAGATTGTTGTTAAAGAGCTACATTACACACAAATCTACAGCAGGTAGTAAGAGGATATTTAAGAGTGGAGACGGATAGATAATGAGAAACCACAAACTGGGAGAGCAATATAGATTCGGCAGTGCAGCTAAATACACTTTAAACTCTTTATTATACGACTGCAAACACCCAGGAGGGAGATGTTTGCAGCTCTAACTGTCTCCGGCTTTTATTGTTCCTGAACGTAGCACTCGAATTAGTCCAGCATATTAGATGAAGGTGATGTACGGTTGTTGGGCTGCAGCCACACCGTTGAATGCACTTTGGATAAAGGCGTCGGCTTAATGAATGTAATGTAAAGGAAGGAAGGAAGGAAGGAAGGAAGGAAGGAGGGAACAAAGAGCAAGACAGCAAAGACAGACAGGAAATGAGAAAAGTGAAATCCAGAAAATAAAATAAAGACTAAAAAGGACAGAAAGAAAGGACAGGAGAGTTCAAAGAAGAAAAAGGGAGATAGATTAAAAAGAAACCAGAAAAGCTATGACAGAAAAAAAAAGGAAAAAGATGGAAGAAAATGAAATAAAAGAGTAGAACAGTAAATAAAAAGAAAGACGGGAAAGAAACAAACTAAATAAGAGACGCAGTTTTTGTGTGGCGACCTCTCCGAGGTGAGAGTCTCCCAGCGGTCCTTTGGTCTCCGGGTTGGCGATGATGATCCGAACTCCGGGAAGGATCTGAAAAACAAAAAAAAAACCAGATAAATAAATCAGTTTCCATGGTTACCGCTTCACTTGTGAGTCCCGTCTTTGATTCCAGTTCGCATAAAACTCCGAAAACAGACCCAGAGGTTTTAGATTTTAACACACAGTTTAAATTCAAGTAAGTCAGGAAACATTGAACACAACAAGTTTATTAGACTGAATCCACAAACACACAACAAACACACAACAAACACACAACAACAACAAACTCTCTGCTCAAGAAGCACGAACAGAAGAGGACGGGCCGACTGCTTCCCTCCTCCCACGTACAGTGAGTCAATACAAACAGCGGGGCTGATCGATGACCGGCCCTGAAACATGACGTCCGCTCTCTTTGTGTGTCAGTGTGGGGGAAGAAGAGACGTCTCATCAGGCTCCAAGAAAAGATCTGTCAGTTTAATGTTGCTTCATGCAGCAAACAACATAAAATTCCCTCTTTCCTCACAGATCAGGACTGTGTTTAAATCACCCACATTTCAGCCATCAAACAGTCCGTTTAATCTGTTTCAACACGAGCCTCCACGATTCCCCTTGAACATCAAATTTTAGACGCCGTTAATTGATTTCCAGAGTTTCCAACGACTCAGAAGTAGCCTGTCTGCGGAAGAAATAGACACAAACTTCAAGAGTCTGCAGCCACACTGATTTACTGTGGAAGAAATACTCCGATATTTTACTGAAGTAAAAGAAATCCTTTAATTTACAAGTAAAAATTCTGCATTCAAAATTTTAAGCTGCTGTAAAGTAACTAAAATAAAAAAATATTTACAACATTTAAAGCTTAAACTGTCGTTGAGTAGAAGTAGAAACTAGCAGAAGGTATCATTTTCACGTTTTTCAGCCGTATTATAACAACAACAATTAAACAATTGCTAATTAGCTCGTAAAGCCAAAATGCAGCTGAGGCTGTTGGGAATGTTTTAAGTTGCAGGTATCTGATCGTAAACTATGGCGATCCATGTCGACCTCGTGGGGCTTTCAGGGGATTTAAATCATGTGTTTAACACGACCTCAACTCTGAAAAGCTGCTTTCAGGTAATTAAGAAACACCTTGTTGTGGTTCTTTACAGTTTGTTGAGCAGGGAACAGATTATTTCAGCACTCATACGTCAGCAAATGTTCTCTTGTTCTTACACAAATACAGAATCAATTAACACAAATTGCTTTCTCTTCTTCTTTCTGTTATATATTTAGACATAATGCGGCGCTGGCAGTTCTCCTCGCTGACCTCGCTGATGGAGTTCGGTTAGTTGCTAAGAGATCCGTGATGAAACTGAAATAAGTGCCGCTCAGCGATCAGATGAGTACAGAGTCATTTGCTCCGGGATTAAAGCAGCAGATCTGAAGTGCTGCAGGAAGACTCGGTCTTTGGTGAAGACTCAATTACTGCAGTAAGACGATGTTAAAAAAGAAGAAGCTTTTTGGGGACTTTTACTGTCGTTATCAGGCAGATGGAGCTGGAGGAGAGTGGGAGGACACCAGTTCCCTTTCCTCAATGCCTGCATCTTATTTTCATTTAATTTAATTTAATATAATTACTAACATTTTTTGTTTGCATAATAGAATTTCAGCTGATAATTCAACATATATTTAACTCCCATAATAATCATTTTCTTACAATAGCTGTAAAACTAAAGCATCATGCAACCAAGTACCTGTTTAATGTGTTTAATATGTATAAACTGAATTTATATTAATGTCAGCAGTTTAAAACGGAATAAATATGCTCATGTGTTCTTAACATTTATAGTACAGCTGACAGATCATTGCTGTTATCACCACGAGCCCTTAGAGATGATACGAGATTTAAACATTAATATAGCAGCAAACAGCTTCGTTATGTAAAGATACAGTGGAGTCACTATATAGTCACACTCATTCTGCCTGTGGTGGTGAGTTTTATTTTGTTTCTGTTCATTTCGAATGAAGTTACGATGAGCTGCAAGGTAGAATGAGTGTTTTTGTCTATGGACTCTGGTGGAGGTTAAAGTAAAGGTCTATCTCTGTAGGGATATAACTGAATTAAGGTTTATTTCGACCAAACCAGCTTTGGTGTTTGTTGGAAAGACTAACAAAGATGTTTTTGGTGAGTTTTAGTTCGTATCGGTCTACCTTGAAGTGCTTTATGATTATCTGCTGGGTAAAATTACTAGTTTTGTCAATGGAGTCTGGTTGGCTCTAGTGTGACATCGTATATCGGTTCATCTCTTATTCTACAATAGTACAAAGACAAAAAGATGTTGAGTTCGTAGACGACTGCGTTCTGCTCAGTTACAGATGACGACGGAAACAAAATGTACAAGTTGCAAACACACGATGAGCTGCACCCAACATTTGTTGTTTTTAAAAGTGCTCTATAAATAAAACTGACATGACTGTATCTGCTGAATGTGGGCGAGTCTTATACTGCAGGTTAGAATATTTTCTTCCTTCACCATCTGCCAGGATTTGATGAGTGGTTGCGGTTTTTCCTCTGCTGTTATTTCTAAAGCAGGAGTTGAGTATCTCGGTATTTAAGGGGAAAAAAAGCTTGTTTTCTCGCGATAACGGGACAAAAATCCTACTATTAGTGGCTGAAATGTTTGTTTCTGCTGACTTCTCACCTTGCTGCAGTGATGTAGAAGTGTACTTCAGGGTGTGGCAGTACACACTCACATCACTTTAGGTTGTTTTAAGGTCTAAACGATACATCGGATGTATGTTTACCAATACAAAGGCAACATTTTAGACAACCATCTGATGAATGTGATCCCTTCTTCACCCACACATCCGCACACAGACAGGCAGGATGGATGTTCGAGGGCTCGTCATGGACTCAAACCTGCTGTCTGGTTTGACTCACCGAACGTGGGAGGACGCAGAAATAGTCCGATCTTCTGTCATTCGATCCGCTGCCATTTTAGAGCATCTGAGTAAGTTTCTTCAATGTGAGTTTGAACCACCTCAGGTTGTACTTACAAAGTCATTAAATCACAGCGTTCAACAAACCTCTCAGACGGGTCCCAGGGGAGCGAAATCCAATTAAATGGATGTTTAATTGTATCAGTTTTGGGCTTTTTGACAATGTGGGCACTTTATATTTTTTGAATTAACCCACCCTGCAATCACAGATTAGACCTCAGTCTTTGTCTCACCTTGCCAGACTCCATTAATGGCAGACTGTGAGGAGAACCTCTCTCCACCAAACGAACCCTGAAACACACAAATGTGGAAATGTCACGATTCTGTACACAGCGAAGGGAGGGAGAAAAAATGACTCAAAACTAAAAGCTGACAGGACAGATTGCGGTACCTGTCATGTCGCAGCGCTCTCATGTCCACGTACACAGTTGTGGGGTCCGGCCCTGAAGTGCCCTGCAGCCAATCACGACACAGACACAGTGAGCGTGAGAGTGATATCAAGGAGCCACACTGGTTGTAGCTGTTTCTTCAGAGGTGAAAACAACCAAAGATCTCATATCTGACCATATTTTTAATGCCAAGTTTCAGCTGGTGGACATATTTCAGTCTGTGCCACAAACCTACTCAGCAACCTTAACGCTGATTAAACAGTATGGAAATAAAATGACTCTATATATTGATCAAAATGCTGTGAATTAGCACTTTATCTTTGTTCTAAAGTGACATAATCTTAATGAAAGTTATACATTTTATGAGTAGTACAGTATGATGGCTGATGACGACGTGTTTCATTGCCCCACAGTTCAGTGCGCAGCAGCTGCAGTGTTTCTCCATCTGTTTTTACCTGCAGGCAGATGGCCAGGTTGACCCTGCAGCCGAAGGCAGTGCTGACAGATCGTGGGTGAAGGCCGAGGTCTTTGAAGAGCTTAGAGAAGGAGTGCGTGAGCGACATCCTGGGCCTCTCCTCTGCCACCACCACGCAGGCACGAACCCGGGACAGATCCAGACCGCGAGCCTGGACGCGAGGCGGGAAAGAAAATGTCATCACAGAGAGGACGGAGAGGCTTCTTCGTGTCTGTTTGGAGGCTGATGGGTCAGTTGTGTTTTATACAGCTTATATTTTACAGTGTTTCTCCCTCATTATTTCTGTTTAACTGATCCTGTTTATATTCGTATAGTTTTCAGGAAATGTCTTTGTGTGAGATTGTAGCTTCCTACCTCTCTCTCACGTTTGTTTACTTTACTTTAATGTTTTTCTTGTCCACGGTGCTGCATCTAAAACAACAGCAGTCAAAATACTGTAATCTGCTCCTGTTAAAAACTAGGAACAAGAAGAAAAACATATTTTTGAGTAGAAGGGGAACTTTAAGAATGAAGTTAAAGTTATTGCTTTAAGTCAGTGACGGTCCTCACAAGAAGACAAATACAAAGGTGTGTGTGTTTTATGTGGAATAAAAAAAGCCCCATTAACTAAAGAAACATTTGTACTTTTCACTCTGCGTTCAGCCTTCAGTCTCCATGGAGACTTAAAGAAAGATAATAACTAAAATTAACTCTGCAGCTTCCATCGGTGACCAATCAGAAGCGTCGGTGGCTCCGGCACTCAGACGTGGCCTCAGGCAGAGGAGACGGAGACAGAGTGTGAGTTTATTACCGCTGAGCCAGAGGAGGGCTGGAGTCACTTAGAGTCTGTGGGTTTATCTGACTGCTCACATCCAGCTGTTGAGTACAACTGGACTGATGCATGTTGGGAAAAGTGACCACCAGCCACAAGACAACCCGCCGTCTGACAGTGACTGAGATCAGAGCTGGTTGGTCAGCTCTGAGAAGGTGACCGGACTTCAGTGGGGGCATTAAGTGGTAATCTGTCCTACAGGGGTATCTGGAGGGAGGGCAGGGACAGCCGTACTGAGATCAACTGTCAATCAAACACACATCACTTCCTGTCCTATAAGATTTCTCCCAGGAAAGACCTTCCCCACAATAACTCCAAACAGAAAATTAAAAAACCTTTCCTTTATTAGACATTTATGCTAATCATTATTAATAATTGGCTATTAGAACTCTTTTACACTGTCAATCTGCATCACATAGTCTGACGTACGAAGAGGAGGAATAAGAAGCCACAAGAACCCAACTCAGGAGAACTTAACTCGGAACTAAAAGTCTGCTTTCCTGTATTCCTGTTTCCACCACGTTTGAAAAACTGTAAATGCATTAAAAACGTATTTGAGGAGCTTTCCTTTGTTTTTACTGTGGTGCTGATGTTTGAATAGATGCACAGCAATAAATAGATACAAAGGAGCATCAGAGGTGGAACGGAAGACAGAAACTGGAATGAAACAACAATTTCTTGCAAAACAATCGTAGATAATGATCAGCAAATTAAGTTTTGTTTCTCTCGTTCACTCGCTCGTTGTTCGCTCCCACTCTTTATTAAAAACTAATTATTGGAACATAACTGTTGTGTTTTTAACATTATTACACACAAGGGATGTTCCTCATCCTAATACTGATACAGGTGTGAAACATAACAAAAGTTGTGCAGATTCTAAAGTTTTGTTCATTATTTTTCAGCAAACTCAGCCCCGATACTTCCTGGGACATTGGAAAGTAGGACTACGGACTATTTTGGCACCTGAAACTATCAAAGAGGGACTAAATTTAGGTTGTGCCAGCTGAAACACAGACAAGGGCTCAGAGTTCCTGGAAAAGTTCCTTCGGTTGAAACGATTCACAGCGACAGAATCAGACAAATTAGACTGATGGCAGACTCAAACAGGATGACCTATAAGGACACTATAACAGGAGGATTCCTGCAGTGAAAATGGAGGATAGATAAATATCCAAGTGCCTTAAAATGGTTTAAATATGTGAAATAAGAACTGAAATGTTGGTTGTATCAGTGCCTTGCTGACCTTGAGTGCCTCGGTCTGCAGGCCGAGTCCTTTGGTGCAGAGCTCCATGACGCTGTAGGAGCAGAAGGTGTCTCGCACCCTCAGCTGGCTGACGGCCAGCAGCCACAGCGCCGGGTTGGACTCCAGCTCCACCGGGGGAATCAGGATGGACTGGTGGCCAGAATACACACTACAGAAAAACACACACCTTTTTTTAAGGGTCTTTTTAATGGTTACCTGCAATTAAATAACCAGTTGGTCTCAGTTCGGATTGAGAGAAACCTGAGAGCCAAAACTGCAGTCGTTTATTGTAACAATCAGCCTTTAAATGTGAGTTATTGTTGCTTTAAAGTCATTGAGGAGGATGAGATATCCTCGTACCGAAGGTGATTTGCAGACTGCTTTATTTAGAAGACAATCGGCAGCAGAAATCTGCTCTCGCCAAGTTCAGAATTTATGAGCGGAAGATTTAAACCCAAGCAGACCTGAGAACTGGAACTGGAGTGAGAAGATTTACAGTCATTGGAGATTCAGTGATAAACATTACGACAGTGATTCTCTGTTCTTGTTATTAAAGGACGCCAGACAACATTTCTGACATAAATCATAATTTGTACCGAAACATGTAGCGAACCTTCTGTAATAAAACAAAAGGCCCTGTGGGGAAGTATAACGGCAGCGCAATTTGCATTTTGTTTTTGTCGGCGAAAGAAGATAAATTATACGGCCAAAAGTATATAGACACAAAGAAGAGGCCCAATCAAGAGCCAGTGTTTGGTTTGTCTGTTCTCTACAGAGGAGTAGATAATTCTTATTTTCATGTGATTACACACTAATGAGGACATATCTATGAATATTAAATGACATTATCTGCCAATAGATCCTCCTAAATGTTACACACTGGTCCTTTAAACATGCCACACTTGATGCTCTGCTATTAAAGCCTCAGCTCTTCTGGTTTCAGTCTTTCCACCAGATGTTGAACCCTGCCTGCAGGGACACGAGAGCATTCATGAGGTCCAACACTGATGTCAGGGGGGATCAGTTCTGGCTCACAGTCTGCGTTCCAGTTCATCCCAAAAGTGTTGGACGGGGGTTGAGGTCAGAGCAGTCAAGGTCTTCCACATTAAACTAGGAGAACTACTTTTTTACGGAGCTGGTTTGTGCGTGTTGAAACAGAAAAGCCTTTCCCGCTGAGCAGGTAGTGCACAGCGTGTTTTTAGAGCTTTCTCACTGAAAACAGCTGCAGCCAAAAAAAGACACTACGAGAGCTTTGAGTGCCAAAACAGTAAGGTTGTGGGTCAGACAAACAATGAGCTGGAACTCACTATGAAGCACCGGAAAGCCGAGGGAGAGCAGCAGATTCATCTCTGGAGGTCAGTAACACCTTTCACATTGTCGTTTAATACTTTACACAAACCCTGATTATTATCACTTTAAAGATTGATGACTGAAATACATTTTTAATGGCGTGTATGTGGGTGGAGACACCGACCTGCAGAGACACCAGAGGACAAAGCCGAGGCCGCAGTAGGGATCCAGACAGATGGCCACTTCTCTGGACGGGTACAGCTCGCACTGCAGCTTCACTGACCGACAGAAGGCCCCAACTGCATTATGGGACATCTGGAGAGAGGGAGGGAGAGAAAGAAAAGACACAACAAGACACACACACAGACGAACAAGGAACAGGGTGGAAAGATGGACAGTTAATCCCTAAAAAATTCACACTTAAAATGTCACACAATTCACGCATCAGTCGGTAGGTGCTCTAATGGATGCATCTGATGTTAATTTGCTTTTATTCTGCTATTTTCCTCATGTTTCCTGTATGTACGGGGCTGTATTGTGTTGACTGTTGCTGCTCTGACAGCTGAATATCCCTCTGGAATTTAAAAAGAAAATAGAAAAAGCAACGAATAAACAAAATAAGGAAGGAAGTCTGTCCGAGCAACGGGGACGAGAGGCTGTAAAGCGCTTTGCTCGGGTGATGAGGATTAACGCTGAGCTGACCTGAACTCCAGCCAGCATGCCGGTTGTGGACACACTGAAGTCCAGATAGGCCAGACCGTCAGGGTTGGTGGGCTTATAGAGAGCTGGAGGCTTCTTCTTTGGCAGGTCATCTGCGACACACACACACACACACACACACACACACACACACACACACACACACACACAATTCACAGATTGTTTTTTCTTCATAAAATGGAAAACATTCAACTGCACAAGTTCACATTTGTTATTTTTAGTGACCACCAGTAAACCCAGTCAACAGGGACGTGCACAGACATGTTGAGAGGCAGAAAAGCAGCCGTACCAGTGTCGAGGACCGGCGGCCAGTTCCTGATGTCCACTGTGGCCGTGGCCTCCTTAGAGCGCAGCAGCTTACAGATGACTGCCGTGGTCATCACACAGGCTGAATGACTGACCTGCAGAGGGAGACAGGGATTATCTTAAGGTTATTAATCGTTGTATCATCATTTAATTGTAATAATGAATTATTTTCCTCTTTTCCACCGTAAAGTTTCTATATTTTAATGCAGAATAAAACAATAAAACTTCTCAGTGCAGACAGGGAAAGTAAAAAAAGGGTAGATTTGATCAACAATCGTTATCTATGTCCTAAAGGCTGTGCATGCATAGTTCAGTAGTTTGTGAAATGATTTGTAAAATTGTCTTAGAATTTTAAAAGGATAAAATCAGCCTTTATTGATCCCCAGAGGACAAAGTCTGGTTCTGCAGCAGCACAGGACACAGCGGATGAATTTAGAGAGGTAAATAATAGAAGTATAAAGATAAATAGAATCTATACAAGAGAAGTCAAGACTGAAAAACAACATTCATTGAAAAACAAAAAGCAGCATTTTATAAAAACCGACCTCGACAATCATCTTGACGGTGGGCAGCGTGGTGGAGATGTTCTGAGGGTGAGGCGGTCGCACCGTGATGGGAACACAGCCGGCGTACAGGCTGCCGTAGAAAGCTGCAATCAGGTCTATACCTGCAGGACACACGCGGAGGGAGAGAGGTGAGAATGATCGGTCCTATCGAATGTACAAATGTTCTGTGAATAAAGAGCGTGCTGCGTCTCTAACCCGGTGGGTAGACGAGAGCGACGTGGTCTCCTTCCTGCAGACCTCCTCGCTCCATCAGCAGAGCCGCCACTCGCTCTGCCCTCTTATGGAGCTGCAGGCAGGTGAGGGAGCTGGACACCGCCCCCTGGAGGAGAGGAGAGGCGGGAGGGAACATAGGGAGGAGGAGGAGAGAGAGATTTGTGTCATCTTTACCCACAAATACTGACACAACCTTCTTCTATTAAGTCATTTTCAGCAGTTTTGTCCATGGCATCACTTCTGCATGATAAAACTGTAGTCCATTGCAGATAATGTGTAGATGTGTTACCCGGGAGCTGAGGAGGGTGTAGAGGACGTGGTCTGGTGTGGTCTGAGCTCTCCACTGCAAAACCTCCGACAGGAACAGGAACTGAAGAGCACAATCAGAGCTGAAGTTATCACAAACACATTTTATCAGCCTGAGTTGTGTTTTTGTTTACCACATATGGTGACATTTATAGAGAATTTATAGAGAATTTATAGAGAATTTAAAGAGAATTTGTTGTGTGTGTTTGAATTCTTGCACACAGTTTCACACATTTCATCTTGAAGTTGAAAATAAAGCCAATAAAACTGAAACAGAAAACTTTTTTAGGTGTTTAAAGTTAAAAAGCCCTTTCTGGTCTAAATTCACTGTGGCTAACAATAAAGATGCATCAAGCATGTTTACAGGGGCCATAAAATGATGTGTTTTACTGAGACTTTTTACTAACATCAGCACATCATGTAAAAATGCACACGAGACTTAAGTAGTAAAAGCCTTTTATACAGACAAAAAAGGAGTTTGAACAAATAAATCTTAAGTTTTATCCGTCATATTCAGCATTGCTGCTGATAGTGCGTGGCTCTTTTTTACTGCAGCAGCTGAGTCTCTGCCTTCTATCATGACATTAAAGTGGTTCAATCGATATCACAGACACAAGTGAAATTTCAAAGCAGTTAAGAAACGACTTGTCGATGCGTCAAACTGTCTCTGAAGAATAAATTTATGAGCAGTTTACTGACACAGCAAACCTTTTCTGCCTTAGGCACTTGAAACAGAGATTGGCCTCTTTAGAAAGTTTATTGTCTGTTTAGGATTGTAAATCAATTGAACTACTGATAAAGTCGAGACTGTTTGCTGTATAATTTCCCTAAAATGTCAACTTTTCAATCGGTGACTGATCCAAACCGTCTTGACCTTCAGATTAGCTGCTAAACTTCTGCATTTCCTGATTTATTCAATGAGATTTTGAAAGGTTTCATGAAAGCCAGGCATCAAGAGTTATTCTTCTTTCTGAAACCTCCATTATCAAAACCTGCTTATACAATATATTAATCATCAAAAACAAGCAAATCTGTGTGTGTTTGTGTCACCTGGTCGTTGTCGTCAGTCTGTCCCAAATCTCTGCCGCTGGCCTGAGCGATCCTCTTCCCTGACACCAGATTCCCCACCATCACAGAGGCAGGTCCGATCTCTGCAACACACACAATCACCATCTATAATTCACCACAAACCGGTTACAAACAAACACTTCTATGTGCTGACACAACAAAGTTCCCACCTGGTTGTTTCTGCCGGGGTTTGGGCAGGTTGGTGACGCAGGTGTGGGGGCACATGAGGACGTTGCAGGGGTGCAGCCCCCCCTCCAGGTACAGCTGCTTGATCTCTGACAGGTGGATGCCGCCCAGAGGGGTCTTGGGCAGAGTGTTGGCCGGGACCAGAGCCAGGCAGAACACACCCACACCGTGGATACTGTCGATGGCCTGAGAGAGAGAAGAGAGAGAGATAGAGAGAGAGGAGAATTATTGAGGAATTATTATGAAATGTAAGAAATATTTGTCTATTTGTCAATATATTACAAACAATACAAGAGATAAATGATGTTAAACAGGTTTGATGGAGAGAGAGAGCTGACTGAAAGTATACAATCATTAATGCCTAAAACAAAGAACATACTGTACACAAGCTTTTGTATTTATATTTAAAATTACACACTGTTTACTTACACTTTGGGGATTTATAATCAATAATTCATCTTACACACTGACAGTGTTGCTGATTTGATTTCAGGTTTCAATTCTCTGTATTTCTGATTTAAATGATTTGATTAACAATGTTAGTGTGAGCAGAGAAACGGTTGTACATGGTTTGCCCCCTTTCCCTTTGGTTAGGAGAGAGTTTGCATTTAAAAGTCGACCTGCTAACATGCTGGACGCAATAACGGCAACCACGGCGTGTGACAGGCGATCTACCTGCAGCACGCGGCTCATCCACTGGAAGCTGTCCTCCTCTGTGGAGTCGGGTCTCTGCTCGGCCACCACCACGATCCTCTCGTCCCTCAGCACCGTCACGGAGAACACGGCTATCCTGCAGGGACGGAGGAGGAAAACACGAGTCAGTGCAGCTCCGAGACCTGCCTTCAGTTTCACCTACTGACCGTAATACTGGCTCACAGGCTGGGGCTGACATTGGGCATACTGTTCAATGTTAGATCGATCAGTACGCCCAATAATCACTCCTCCGACGGCTCCCTCCACTGTGGAGTAAAAGGGTTTATCTAACAGCATCAGGAGAGTCAAACCTGCAGGAAAATAGCTGAAAACACTAAATGATTTCATAATTTGGGTCTAAGTGACGAATTTTAGAGTCTCATTACGGTCTCATAAAGAACACCCTGACAATAATGCTTGGAATACTTTATCCACTAATGGTGAGGCTTGATGATAATGAATATTATAACAAGAGTATTTAGCTGTAACATTAAAAACATAAAAAACAGGGTCATCAAAAACCCACTTTAGCAGAAATTTTGGTTTTATCATCTCAAATGATTGATTTGATTGTCTCTGTAGGGGTACCACATTGTTCATTTTTAACCCTTCTGACACAGGAAACATCGCTACACACTCAAGCTGTGAGCCCGCATCTAAGTTTTTACTTCTTTTCTGGTGAAACTTTGTTTGAAAAAGCTGACATCAGTAATCAGCAAGAAAAAAGGGTGCCAGCAACAGTTTGTGAGGACACAAAGAGCCCCAAATATCTGATTCCTTTAGATCCTCGGGTTCTTTAACTGTCTGGTGTCACATCAGAGAGGAGCAACGGGAACCTAAAAAACAAGTCTGATGAATTAAGAGTGTGTGACTGTGTTAAAAAACGGGGGAATGTTTGTCTGTTAGAAGCTCATTCACTTTCAGATGAAGGCTCCACTGCAGATATATTAGAGAGTCTACTCACTCCGATGTACTTTTAAAGAAGATGTTAACGCAGGTTCAGGTGTGTGTGGACAACAAAGGAAGGATAGCACACACCAAAAACAACTACAAACACTCAGCACTCCAGCGGCAGCAAGTAATGAGACATAAAGACATAAACAAAGAAAGAATGGAAACCACACACAGAGAGACGATTCAAATTCAACTGCGGGCGTCGGCCATTTGATATTAGCAGACTATAGCAATAAAGAGTGATTAATAAATACAAATCATAAGTAAAATGCCTCAGAATCGTACATATGGCACCTTTAAAATATAAAATCTATAATTTTATCTCAATATGTTTGAGTGAACGGATCCTTCCTTTGTAAACGCGGTGGTTCAGACTTCCTACAGGAGCTTGAACCTTAAATAGCTCTTGAAAACGTCATCAGCCGCTGTCAGCTAAAAGATGAATTTCCTCCTCGGCGGCGGTGGACACAATTAAACTTCACTCTATTACTGTTTCTGGATTCATCCACTATTGCTCTACTTTATTAGATTTATTACGTGTGGGGGTGCTGCTCATTTATCAGGGTGACAGTAAATGTACATCTGGCTGGTTTTCAGCTACTGTCGATGGGAATACTGTTCAAACCTTTCAGTGTGACTTCTAAAAACGTTCCCCTGGGTGTCGTGGTCCACATCCGAATATATAAACTGCACCCAGACTCCTCCCACCTCCCACTCACCTGCCCCTGTAGACAAACTTCATCGGCTCCACCGCCAGCGCCGTGGCAACGATGTCGTCGGCGTTGTGCCTCCGCCCGCTCACCATGATGAGCCCGTCCATCTTCCCGGTGATGAAGACGAGGCCGCCCGGGCCGATGAAGCCCAGCAGACCGGTCCGCACGAAGGCGTACTCGCTGACCAGACCCCCGCTGGCGCTCACCGGGTAAACCTGCAAACACACACACACACACACACACACACACACACAGGCGTTCAGTCGCAGAGTCGCCATGGCAACCAGCCAGCAGTGGAGCTGCATGATGGAGCCAAAATCAGATATCACAGTATTTTTAACTCAGGACTTTTATATTGACGTCGACGTGCTGCTGTGGATATTATGACAAGCAGGTTTAACAACAAGTTCAAGTTCCAGTTAAATAAAATACAGCATTTAACAGCAGGAAAAGATATTTATAATTAAATAAATAATTAATAGCAATTCAATTCAATAATTAATTAATAACAACAATCTAAAGAAATCTAGAATAAATGTTTCTCTGACCTCAGAAACAGAAATGAAACATCCATTTTAAAGTCAGATTTTATGTTTTTTAAGTAACAAAATCACATTTAATGTGTTTAGTATGATTCTGCTGTGAAACATGAGACAATATTCGGCCTGAACGGAGATGATTTACACCATAAAAGATATAATTTCAATTGTAGACATGATGAGTATTTTATAGTGAAAACAAAATTTGTAACTAGCTCTAATGTTGTTTGCCAATTTTCCAAATTAGAGAAAATAATAACACAACACCTAACTAATAAAATAGAATACAATAAGCTCAAAAATCTATAACTTTGTACAAATGAGGGTGAAAACTCATCAGGAAGAAACAATCTGCAACCATTTTGATATTTTATTCAATATTTAAGTCATTTCTTTAAACATAAATGCCCCAAATTCTCTGGTTTTAGCTTCTCTAGTGTGAATTTCTTGTTGGGTTTCTTGGTCTTCTGTGATATAAAATGGACTATGTTTTGGTTTTGACATTTAGTGACAATCAGTGGATCTTTGCCAAGCTTCATTAAGTTGAACAGCGGGTAGGTTTCACCCTGTGTCCTGTATCCAGTGGTGGTATCAAAGTATTCAGATTAAGCTAACGTACAAATACCACGCTGTAAAAATACTCTGTTACAAATCCTGCAGTGAAAATGGTATTTAAGTCAAAGTATTACCAGAAAAAGTGACTGCGACTATACAATTATATCTGATATCATTAGATTATTATGGATTACCTAATGTTTATAGAGTCTCTCTCTCACACACACACACACACACACACACACACACACACACACACACACACACACACACACACTGTACACACCTCAAAAGTGTTCTTGGTCATGCCGGTGAGGCCGTAGTAGGAGGTGCCGGTGGCGATGGAGCAGACACAGAGCTCACCGATCTCATCTGTCTGACAGAGCTGAGGGACGCCTTCTGGTTTCACCACACACGCCAGGCCTGAGAGGGCGAGAGACAAACACACACAGAGAGAGAGAGAGAGAGAGACACACACACACACACACAGTGTTAACACCTTTTTTTTCTGTTTTCTTGTGATGATGATCACAAGGTCCCCCCAGATCCAGCCTCCACTCTATACTGCACCTGTTTATGGGAATAAGCCGGCCGACGAGCCTAAAGTAGGTTGTTCTAACCCAATTATGACGTCTACTTACGTCTGTGTCAACCCAAAACCAGGTTACTTGAGGAACTGGGCTAAGAAGAGAATATCTAAAGCAGACGAGCTCTAAAACAGGAACTGGTGCCAGACGGTTCTTAAAAATAGGATTTTATTGTCCCATTGAACAGATTGGCTATAATATTCTGTATTTGTGGGGGTTTAATAGGGTTGATTACAGGACTGAGGAGCTGAAAGATCACCGAATCCCTCCTTTAATGTAGTTCCCCTCATGTTACAGAGGGCGTAGTTCCTGTGGTGAACACTGGGTGGTGTGAGTTGACAGCGTCAGGAAGCGAGTGTTGCGTAGAAGAAAATGTGTGTGACAGTGATGTTTGATTAGCTGTGGCAGCCTGTGTGTTTGATCAGCAGGGTTTACACATTTCCTTCTGCAGATTACCGCCTTCTTTATGGATTATAAGAGACAGACCTTCACTTCCTCATGTGTGAACTCTATTTTCATTCATTCATTTCGCTCCCCAGGAGAAGAAAACATACAGAGTTCCTGATGCATAATCATTTAATAGAAGTATATTTACCTGTGGAAAGGTTTTGTGATTCTCTGACTAAAAATCCCTCTCATGTTAAGTACATTTACAAAGATGTAGTAAATACACATTTTGGCAAATTAAGGTTGTAAAATGAGCGAAGAGCAAATACAAGAAGAGTTTTAGTGCAACGGTGACACTAACTAAGCTGATGTTGTATACTGTAAAGAATTTTAATGCTCAAAATATTAACTATTAAAGAGTCCTGTTATTTTATATTAGTTAATACATAGTTAAAACATAATTTTTTTGTATTAATACATCAATTTAAGTCCATGGTATGCTAGGTTCGCTGTGTACTACTACTACTACGAGTTATGGGGTTAAACACACTGTAATAATTGCATGGTAAAGTGAAGAGCTATAAGACATTGATCAGCAACAATTCTGATAATCGATTCATCTTTTAAGCATTTTTTAAACAGATCAAGCAAGAATTCATTGATTCCAGCTTCTCGTTTCTGAATATCTTTTGGGCGGATCGTTTCATCGATCTAACAATGAATTGACACTTTAATCTGCAGACTCATCGCTAATTGGAATTAATTAAATGATCAAAAACCGGTTTAATTCGGTCTGAGGCGCGTCCGCCAAGTACTAATGTCCCCGGTGTCTGTGTCTCCTTCATTAGTGCCTGATCAGATGATATATTGTGTCCTAAAAGCTTTTTTTATGTTCTGTATTACCTTGTTAAACTATCTGTGTGACTTTGTCCCCGGAGACCAAACTCAGGTGATTAGTATGGATTGCGGCCATACTGAAAACTCTCCTGCCTCCTTCTTCTTTTCAAAGCTCTTGAAAGCATTACTCAACTAGCTCTTTCGGTCATGAAGAGACAGACAGAGAGAGAGAGAGAGAGAAAGAGAGAAAGAGAGAAAGAGAGAGAGGGAGGGCGCTCCCAAAATTGGACATTGATGAAAAGGGAGAGGCTGCACATTTACACACCCTTAAAACTCATTTTACGATTTAATGGACTTAATGGATTTTTTGCCATTCAGTGCATGACGAGACTGAAGGCCGACAGTTTAACTCTTCGGAGGAACCCGAGAGAACAGGTGGTCGATGCCTACAGCGTGAACATACAGCGAACACGCCCTTCATTAATGATCCTAACTTACGCTGGTATACGGACCTAAATCTGAACATTTAACAATTAAGTGACACAATTTATGAACACTATTGTCAATAGGACGCCTCAGTTTACAAAACTAATGAGGGCTTGTTTCATAAAATACATGTTAATATGAAAATAAAGTTCTCAAATGTTAAATGCTGTCTAAACACAAGGAGCCATGTAACTCAAAATTTAGATATAAATTAAGAACTAACCAAAGAATCAAGATTACAAATCTGACCAGGCCTTTGATGCAAGATTTCCACACACACACACACACACACACATATATATATGTATTTAAGTATAATACAGAAGTATATTCCCTTAAAATCAATGAATCAAGACAGTAGAAACCCTTTTGTCCACAGGGCCGCCAGAATCAACACAAATATAAATGATCATTATCACATAAAACATAAAAACCAAATGAAATAAGACATTTAAACCAGTGAAAACCTGTTTCCTATTATCCTATCTGTGTTATTCTAACTGTGACTGTATTTTAATTATTATGTAGACTTATTTTTGAGGCTACATATGCGCACACACACACACACACATACGTACGTACCTCCGGGTGTGACGGTGCCAACATCTTGCACAGTGAGCACTGAGAGACGTTCCTCTGTGTCGACCCTGACGACCCCGTAGGTCAGACCCTGCATGGACAGGACGCCTCGACCCGGCGGCTGGCTGCTGTCCTCCACTGGCCTGAACGCAAAAAATACCCACAGTTCATACTGTCATTGACCTACATTACAGGGCTTTACACAGTAAACAGAGCCCGTACACACATACAGTGTGTGAGCATACTGTATGTTAGTTAGTAACCCTGCCAGGCAGCTGGATTTACAAGATCACGAGAGCATGAATCCATCTCGTCAGGCTTCAAACTATGTGCTTGTGTCTGAACCACAGCGGATTTTTTCCCCGAACTTTGCAGCAATATCTTGTTTTTTAAATCCAGTACGATCTTTGGTGGAACTGAGGAACCTCCAGTTTTATTGCTGCTTCAGTATCAAACATTCAAACTCTGCAACACTGAATCCACAATGTAAACTACAACTAGAATCACCTATTACACGCTGACTTAAAGACTTATTTCTCAGACTGAAAACGTTTCCAGTGTTTTACTGTGCTGCAGTCTGTACTGATCAGTGATTGATTGATTGGTTATTATAGCTTCTGTTCCTTCCTGTAATAAAAGGCTGTGTGCTGCAGAGGGAAATAAACTAGAGCTGGCTTCTCTTCTATTGCGTGAGTTTGTATATTTGTGATTAGAGTGTGTTTGCATAGGTGAGTGTGTGTGTATGAGGCCATTTGCATATTTGTGCTTCTGTGTATGTGTGCGTGCGTGTTTGCATAATCAGCGTAGCTAAAGCAGGGTAGAGAGTGTGTGTTGTTGTGTGTGTGTGTACCTCCTGATGGCCACTGTCAGGGCCTCGGGGGAGCTGGCGCAGGGACAGATGACGTCGGCCCTCAGCCCTTTAGTCTGAAAGACGTTGAGGAAGGCGTCGCAGGAGGAGATGGACCCTAAGAGACAGAAACAGTCACAAACTGTCAGTTTCCAGGGTTTGAACTACTTTCGCACAAACTCCTGACGCTGTTACAGAAATCAAACAGCCATTAGCCGAGGTTATAAAAAGCTGTGTTTAATCAAATATACTGGCTCTCTGAGTGATATTACAAAAACACTCAAAGAACCACTTCGTACTGATTGTTTTTGAGTGTTGTATCCAAAATAACTTCATTACTGATGACCTTCTTCTTTTTTTTCCCCCAGTGCACCTTAGAACCTGGTGCCACATGAGCAGGGACCTTTTGAATCTCATTGGCAGTGGTGTAATAAGCACTCGCAGCATTTTAAGTAAAAATAACAATACAAATGTAAAAATACTCCCTTAAGAGTAAAAATCTACAATCTGGTTACTGTAGATAGTTTAGGCCAGTGTTTCCCAACCTGTGGCTCCTCCAAAGAGTCTTTAATGATTAATTAAAGTAGGAAAGAAGTAATAATAAAGATCTGCTACACACATTTCTATTTTTCGATTGTTTTCTAATCTTTGCTTTCTGTGAAATATTGGGAAATGTTTCCCTCTTTGAGCCTTGAAAAGTTATTTAAATGAAACCATGTGAGAAGTTTAGAGGGGAAATGTCTCTTTGGCGGAACGACTAACAACTTACAGACATCTGAAACGTGGCGCGCCAGAAAAAGACACTGATTTATTGTAAGAGGTCACAAACCAAAATGGTTGGGAACCACTAGTTTCATATTGAATGTGTAATTTTTTTGTATTTTATAGCTTAAAATGAATTTGAAAAGTAAGATTAATGTAGTGAAATACAAGTAGTACTATATTTCCCACTGAAATGTAGCAGAGTAGAAGTAGAAAGTAGCATAAAATGAAAATAATAATAAGTACCTCAAAATTGTACCTAAGAATGATCCTTGAGTTAATGTGCTTCTATACAATATACTAATAGTAAAAGAGTTTAATATACAGTTAGTATACAAGAAATCAATGTACTTTTTTGTTAGGTACCTAAATTAATAATCTTATTAAACTAAACCAAAGAGAAAATGATTTATTTCTAATCATTTAATACTTATTTTGCTGTCTTATATCTTCCTGAATCTGTTTTTATCACCATCCATAGTTTTTTTCATTTCTTTCAGCTGTGAGCTGCTTCTTCATTTCATTTGTGTATTGTACAATAATTCTAATATATAATAATAATAATAATAATAATAATAATAATAAAAATAATAAATAGCTGCATCTCACAGTCTCCATCAGTGAATAAAAATATGAAGAAAACATGAGCTCAGCTTTTTTTAAGGGAAGAGACTCTAATATTGAACACCTGCTCACTGTTAGTGTGTATTTTTTATGGAACTAAAGGGAAATTTAGGTTGTCTCTAGTATTAAATCTTTTACACGACTGAAAAATTTCAGTTTAATTCTGATTTAGAGGCATATTTTGTGTTAACTGATGTATGTGTTTGTCTGTAACTCCCTGTTATTGCAGACTATCTTTATTAAATGGTTGAATACATTATAATTGGATTTAAAAATGAGCTGTTTAGCACCTGACTCTCTGGTGTCGCAGTACACTTAAAGGTACCACGGGGGGGTTTCAAAGCGGTCCCTGCTCACAGTTGCACCACCACGTGACAATAACCCAAATTTGTCAAAGAATACACCGGACTAAACTGTGATGGATTACAAATGTCAAGCGAGTTTCACGCGTCTGCATGTTGATACTTAATTAAACTGAACCCAGTGGCAGCCGAGAACATGGGAACCAGAACTTGTTGTGGTCGGCAGTAATGTAAACAACGTGCGATTTGTAGTTAATGGGCCCAAAACATGCAAGACTGTCAGTATGGACCAGAAAATTACATAATTTCCTGGTTTCTTTACATATATGAGTCTTCTTTCCACTCCAGTTGGGTTGAAAACCATTTATTGTACCAAATGTGCGTAGTCGGACACATCCTGCTCTATTCCTGTAAAGTGACCCAGTTTCCCGACTTCCCAAGAGACTTTATCCATTTCCCTGACATTCTCTATCTCAAATACACCTTCTCTAAACTCCCCGGTTAGTGAAAGCGCTCTGCTGTGGAGGCTGAGTGTGACCTTACAAGGGTTTGATCCGTCGGCCACCAGCAGCATGCGCAGCGAGCTCAGGTTGATGTCCTTCTGGTCTTTGTGGGCCACCAGAGCCCAGTGCATGTCTCTGGACTTCACACACGCTACCTTGGCTGCGCACACACACACACACACACACACACACACATATATAGAGACAGACAGACAGGAAATTAGCATTTAATCTATTTGACAGACAGGTGAATGTAGTGAGTTGACTGAGCTGAGTGGCAGGCGGAGTGTGTGTCTGACCTTTGTACTGGCAGACTTTCTGGATCCAAGACAGAGGGTTGACCTTCATCAGCGAGTAGGGGACGCTGATCACGTGCATCATGTTCATCACACTCTGCACAGCACACACACACACAATGACATATTAACCTTTAATACTCTTTAAAACTCAATCGGTTATCCATTTTTTAAAAATATAATATATTTCTGAATATTTAAAAGCGCTCATTTGTCCAAAATAGCAGCTACAAAGCTTTAAAAAGTAATATAATTAGTTTAATATTTGTACTAATCTTATTTTCACTGCAAAGACCATTTACTGTAGAGTGTCAACGTGCCCTCATTGATTACACCCCCTGATATCAGAGGTGAGGAGGGGAAGCAAACAGGAAAATGAAGGTCATGACCTCTAACCTCTAGTTTGCAGGTCTTACCGTCAGGATGCCGTGCCACAGGCCCACATCCTTCTTAAAGTCTAGAACGTTCACTATGGTCTCCGCTGACAGACAGAGAGGGAGAGAAAAGAGTTAAATGACAAAATGATGATCTGCAGACTGAACCGAGTGTGTGTGTGTGTGTGTGTGTGTGTGTGTGTGTGCGTGTGCGCCTACCCTCGGTGTAGCTGCAGGACTGGGTGAGAGCCTGGCAGTGTGTGAGCAGAGCGATCCTCGTCACTGTGACTCCCAGCACGCTGCCGTCCTTACAGGTTTTATACTGAGGAGAGAAACAACAGACGGATGACGGTGAAGTCAGAGCAGAAGCAGACATTTGGTGCCTTCGTCTTCTTAAAATAAACCGTGGAAAGTCATTGTGGTCGTTTTTAAATCTCAGCAAGTTACGGATATAAAAAGTGACAATGAGGCAATTTAACCTAACCTTGCGAGGCAGCTGAACTTGCACAATGACAGAATCCCGGGAGAGCGTTGCAATGTGTCCAACTACAGTGGTTCGGATCAATCAGTGTCCTATGAGGAACTGCTGGCAGCTACAGCATGAGCTACAGACGGGGTTTAATGCCAGGTGTTTGTGACGCCATGTGGAAGAACTGACTGTTGCTAACGAGTGCTAAAGACGTTAGCGTAGATTAGGGATGGAAATCAAATTGTCCAATCCATCAGAAGTTATATGCCTCAAAGCTTCATGCCTCAGTTCCTTAGATTTCTTTATCTTGCTTCACATTTACTTTTGCTCGAGCAGCAGCCCAGCGGTTGGTGAGGCAACCAGAGGAATGTCAGCTCCAATCAACAGACAGGTTAAGGTCCCAGCTTCTGTTCGAGAGTCCACAATAAAGATGACACTTTATCATTGTGTGTGTTAGTTAGCCTGTTAGACTCACCTCTATGTAAGCAGTGTCGTTGTTTGCATCTTTGATGTGAGGGAACCAGTCTCTGGGAGGTTTGGAAAGGTGCTTGGACTCCGTTACAAACCACAGTAACTTTGGCCAACCTGCAGCGAGCGGATAGAAAGAGATAAAGAAAGTTATTTATGTGATTAATCAAACCAGAAAAAAGAAGGAACAACAGGATTCTCTTTTATTCATACATTTTACAAACAACTTCAGTTAATCTCAGTCCTTATCCAGCTAGAAAATTATTTAGTTCCCAAATTATGAATAACATTTACACCTGAAGTTAAAGTTTGTTAACAGGTGTCTAAACTGGTTGTTAACTTTACTGTTGTTTCAGTGTATTTATAAATACTTTAAACTCTTCTCTACTACTAGTGTTCTCATTATGTGCACAGAGAGAGACAGGGGGTCACCCCTCCCCCGCTGAGAAACCTCACGCCTTTACAACTCAGCGATGATTGATGATTTTCACTCTCACCTTTGAACTGTGGGATCTCTCCTGTTGCACTCTTGGGCAGGCCCTTGTGGCATGCGTCACTGGTCAGCGCCACGGTAACGCCACAGCTGCCCAACAGGAATCCAATCTGCTGACTGCCGGCATCCTATTGGACGATAAAGGGTGTGTGGGGGGGAGAGCAGTCGGTTACCGCCGTGTGAAAATATAATAATACTCTTCTTAAGATTCTTGCTTTCAATAAATGAATTAAAATAGTGTTTAATCTACTTCTTCAAGCACATATGTTCACACACAGCACAGCTGAAGTGGTGTTTGCTGCACTGCTGCTGCTGTTTCCAGCCAAAACTGAAATTTTATGGAAAATCTTGCAGCACAAATGCAGGATGGGGGAAGGGGTTCAAGAGAGGTGCAGCAACGTGCAGCAAAAGACATTTTCTGCTGCAGCAATAATCAGTGTGTAACCATGCCGACCCTATGCAGACAGTGCTGCAGAGACACGCAGCCGCGTCTCATCGAGGGTCCATGTTCCAGAAACCCATAATCATTCCTGCGTCTAAGAAAACAAGAGCAGCCTGCCTGAATGACTATCGCCCAGTGGCACTCACCTCTCTACTGATGGACTGCTTTGAGTTCTGCTCCTCACTACCCAGCTCACTGGACCCACTACAGTTTGCTTACCGAACCCAACCGATCAACGGCAGGCGCCATAGCACAGAACGTCCACACCACCCTATCTCACCTGGACAAGAAAGGGAGCTATGTGAGATTGCTGCTCATCGACTACAGAGTTTAACAGCATAGTTCTCCCCGGGCTCGACACAAAGCTCAACGACCCGGGATTAAACAGCTCATTGTGCAGGTGGATCCTTGACTTCCCTTCCGGGCAGACCCCAGGTGCTGAGGGTGCGTGGATATCGTCAGGTTTGCTGTGGTCACTGATAAAAATGAAAAGGACAATCTGAAGAAAGCAGAGGGCCTGACCCGCTGGTGTCAGGACAACAACCTCCTCCTGAATGTCAGCAAGACTAAGGAGCTGATCGTGGAAGAAGCAGGGGAGTAAATATACCCCCCCAATATCAACAGGTCCTCAGTGAAGAGGGAGGACAGCTTTAAGTACTTAAGAATTTCTACTCCTGCAACATCGGTGGCATTCTGACCAGCACCAAACAAGATTGCAAGGCCCTCCAAAGAATGGTTTGTTTGCCTGAACAGAAAAAGGCCTGAATCATTAATCATTAAGGATCCCAACCACCCCGATAACGGTCTTCTCTCCTTGCTATGATTGGGAAGAAGGTACCGGACACACCAGGCCAACCACAATTAAACATAAACTAGAACTTGAGTGAGCTGAGCTAAACTGAAATAATACAATTAGAAGTATAAAAAGTATCATGTGAATTTTGTTTTTCAGACACAGGCTGAGAGACTCCCTTTCTTCAGACATGTTTGGTCCCAGAGGGAGATGGCACCAAGATCAACAGTTGAAACCTAATTGATGACAGAATCTCTCTGTGTGATGGCAGGGCAGCAGGAGGGCATGTTTCTAGCGTGTCAAACTTGTTGGGTTTCTGACATGTTTTTGCTGTGCTGACAGGATTATTTTCTCAGAAATACTTTCTGCTAGCAAACAGCTGAGACAGAAGATCCCAAACATTGTTTCATCAGTATCACTGAGATGTCCACACAAACAGAGCTGAACTGAAACACAGCAAGAGTTCACAGCTCCTGCGTACGAGGTGAAAGCAGAGAGGATTAACATTACACAGCAGTGCTGAAAAAAATTAAATTACCTGACCTCCCATGGAGAAACTAATCCTGTGGAATGATGTCAAATGGAAAACTAAAGGAAAGAGGGATTGGAGAGCAGCAGCGATGGCTATACATAAGCTACCGACAGCCAGATAATGGGGTGGGACTTTTTCCATGTAAAAAACCTCTCGGTGGGTTTTATAAAGTACCTTGCGACTCAGTGGGACCTCTATAGGAACAGGGACCACCTCAGCCAGCAGACAGCCGTAGAAGGCCACCATGAAGGCCACAGGGTCGTTGTTAGGAAACACCAACGCCACCTGGGAGAGGGAGGGGAGACAGAAGCTGGGGTCAGATGTGATGGGAACATCTGAGTGGTCATAGCTTCATATTGTGTGTACAGACATGAGAGTGGTATCAATCTCACTCTCTCAATACAAATACAACATGTCACACTACTCCTCTAAAATGTGTTCACAATAAAAGCTCAGATTTACTGATGCAAAGAAGGAGACAAAGATTGTAGGAAAAGTGGGTTTCTGAATAGATTTAAAAAACTCCAACGACATGAATAAACATTAGGCAGGTTTTATAAATATAGATCTTACATCGCTTGAGTCATTACGAACAATACTGGCCAAAATGAAATGAGACAAAGACCAGACACCAGAAACTGTGTGAGGTGGTGGAGGAGTGTGACTCACCCGATCACCCGGTCGCACCATGGGCTCCTGCTTGCTGCCCAGTTTGTGGAGGATGTTGTAGGCAAGCTTGATGCTGCGAGACCACAGCTTTCCTGCAGGGAGCAGGACACAGGATACGAGGGTGTGAGAGAGAGAGAGAGAGAGAGAGAGAGACAGAGTGAGATCACAGGATGTGAGTGTGTGTTCTTGGACTTCTATTTTGAGGACACACAGTCGATAAAAGAAAAAAACCTCCCCAAAGTGACGACATTTAAGAGTGTTCAGCCGTCAGGAGAGGTCACTAGAGAATCCGTTTTGTTTTTATCAAGGATTATACTTAAAGGTAATTATTGTCTAATGCACTCTTGGTGGACAGGTGCAGAGGAAAATGAAAAGATGTTTAAAAAAAGAAAATTCCCTGCTGACAGTGTGCTGGAACTCAGCTTGTTCTTTCGCATTATTTTATTTCCCTGCACACCTGTGTACCATCAACACTTAGTTTGATAATAGATTAGCTTCAAAAATACAAACATACAGTCCATGTTTACTGATAACCTGTATTTAATCCTCACATTCTTTATTTAACTCATTTTAATTCCTTTTTATCATTTCAGGCTGTGTTTTATTGAAGCAAAGCTCTTGTACAGCTGCTTTGAATTGAGACACAATTAAATATGGAAACATTTGAGGGGTTATTTTGTTGAAAAGAGGGAATCTTCTGTATCTTCTTGGTATTTGCAACAGTACTGAACATTTTCAAATGATACCCAGCCAGACCCTTACTCATATCGACCACTGCCAGTATGTGCGGGTCTTCTTCACAGTTCTACTAACTCAAAACAGGGCTTGTTAACCTCGAATCCGTGGAGAGTTTTAGTGCCTCATCGTGGTCTGAATGCTGTTTCAGGGGCTTTTATTTCGGTAACAGTAAGATTCAAACACTTAAACATAAAACAAAAATAAAATAACTTCAGTTTCAGGGAGTTTGTCCCAGAGAGAACAGGACCAAAGTCCAACCTTGTAACTTAATGTGAATGTGTGTGCATGATGAACACACATGTATCTATGTGAGAGAGACTGATATGTCTGTTATATATGTACAAGCCCCTAAAAAGGTTCATTTTGTTTCTCAACTGCACAAACATCTGCTGTAATTCTTCTTTTTTTTTACAGTTTAAACACCCAGAACAACTTGGAGTCCAACATCCAAAAAATAAACTTTAATTGTTAGATCACCAATACGCTCAATTAGCTTATTTCACTGCTGAACAAATAAATAATGTAAACAACTGAAGGAACCACAGCAGCGTCTGGTTACCATATGTGAGGACGTAGAGGGGCTTCCCTGCCGTGTCCAGGCTGGTGAGGCAAGGGGCTTTTGGGGAGATCGTTCCCCAGCGTTGCAGCGCAGCCTCCAGGGACGGGGGCCAGTTGGTGACCACCCCCAGCGCCTCGCCCCGCACCGGCATCATCTCCGCCCCCTCCGGCCGTGGCTGATTGGGGTCCGGCTGCTGGACTGGAGATGAGGAGATGGATAACGCTGTCAGTGCACAGCTCACAAACTTTTACTGCTCACAGTTTGTTTGCTGTTGTCGGGTTGTGAAAACACCACATGGAAACATTTAGCTGGAGCCGGTGGCAGTGAGACAGCTGTTAAGAAGCTGTAATCACACTCAAATACACTGATTATTAATTAAGTGTACCTGTTATTAACCTGTTATCTACTGTAAGAATGTGTAAATTGTGTGACTGGATGGTCGATTGCCTTTTAATATTTAGTTTAGATAGCATAAGGCTGAGAGGAGGCAGCAGAAAAGAGGGATTTTGCAGGATTCAACGTTGAGCCGATCTCATAAACTGTGGATCCAGAGTGAATTAACCACTACATCAACCCTAATCTATACTTTATCCTGTATGACCACAACAGCACACTGTAAAACATATCCAAAAACACAATGTAAAGCTGAAAAAATAACTTTATCCAATACAACGTTTTCTAAAATACAAGGTTTCTAAAGAACACAATTAAAGACTACTGAACAGAAATGATGAGACAAAGATAGAAAACGCAGCCAGACGGCGAGCGCCAAGCAAACAGGAGACAGACATGATGATCTGCAGAGATCTCTGGGCTCGAGATTCCTATAAACATACATTTCAAAAATACTTGGTGAAGAACTTTGCTTTCTATATGAACCAGGCTGATCAACATCTGGTCCACGTTATCCATTTCATATAACTCTTTAATCATTCTTCATTCTTCACACTGACACTGGAGTGTGAGACAGATGTGTATGTAAGTATTTTTTACACTCTTTCTACATTTACAGATTTCCAGAGATATAAAGGAGCTTTGAGTGGCCTTTAAGGTCTGCAGGTTTTAATTCAGACTGAACATTAACACACAGAGATAAATAATAAGATCCAGTTTTGCAGGGTGCAGTGGAGGATCATTACTATTATTACTGATAACAACTTAATAGAGCAAAGCCTGCGAGACAGTTGCCCTACGCCCCACTCTCTGCTTCACCTATCCCACACATCCTCTCTATCTCAGCTCTCCCTCCGCTCTACGAGTGCCGCCGCTTCATTGCTCTGCAAGAATCACTGCGACCTTCACTGCTGCTGATCCGCTGCTTTACTTAGCCCCACCACCACCCCCCCCAGCATCCACCTGCAGGCTCTGACTTAAGTCCCCGGGGGAGGATATGTGCTATCATCACTCTTCAGTGCTTCTGTCTGTGCACGAGCGTGTGCTGCAGGCAGTGATAAGGTGATGAGCCGAGATAGCAAACATGTAGAAACTATATTTCTGTGCTGTCTTAACATGTGAATACACTTTTCTGTGTGAGTTGATTGATTGAACTGCTTTTAGCTCCATGTTCCTAAACTAAATCTGCCTCTTTCTGCTTCAAGCTGCCGTACATCAATGTGCTTCAGACAGTGGTGGAGGACGGAGAAGTAGAAGAAGTAAAAGTACTAATACCACTCTGGAAAAATACCTGTGACTGTTGTACTATTATAAATGATATCATTAGATTATTATGACATTGTGCATTATTGTAAAAACAGGACTTTACTGTTGTAGTTGGTTGCTACTGATTATTCTCTCCTCCATCATAATTACATTAAATTGAAATTACTACAATAATTAAAAGGAAACGCAGCAAATCTTCACATTTGTGAAGCTGAATAATGAAATGTTTTGCATGAAAAATGACATAAACACAAATTCATTTTATATTATATATATAATCAACTACAGTAATTAATTTAATTAATAAACAAATTATTTCATCTGCAGTTTAATTTATAACAAAAGATCATATTTTATAAGTTCTTTGTATATTTTATGTGCAAAATAAAGTTATTAAATGATTCTAGTGAAGTCAAAAGAACAATATTTTCTCTGACTTGTACTGTCAAAATCAGGTATCCTGTTTTACATTTAGTGAATTTACGTCTGAGCTTCTGCACTCATGGATGCGGCTATAAACACCTGAGCACTGGGCCGTGTCTCCAGGTGTATCGGCATCGAACAGAGGCTCGTTCTACACGCTGCTAGAATGAGGTGAAGTGAAGCTGAACACAACTTCCAACACAATTTGTTGTGTCGTTTGAAGGGAAACCATTTAGAGAATCACTCATGACTCCCAAGTATGAAGATAGATTGGATGACACACTGTAACTTAAAATCAGACAGACAGAATCATGAGTCATGCAGAATCAAAGACGGTTTTCTAACCCTCCAGAAGTTCGTCAAAGTCATCGACAAAGAACTCTCGTAGTGGAGGTCTGCGAGGCTGCTTCAGCGTGTTCACAAGCTGCTGGATTTTAGCTGACACGCGACTGCTGACTGGAACACCTGTAAGAACCCCACACACATACACACGGGGTGAGGATGATGGGTTTTTCGGTGGTGGAAAAGGGAAAGCGGTGGCCTGGATTACTTGCAAGACAAGTCCTCATTATCGGATCAATAACAATTTAAACCTCAAGTGTTACCGCGTGTTTTTTTTGTAAGACAGCGGCTAGAATCTGCCTCGTGATCAGAAGACTGCTGGTTCAAACGTCTAGATGGCTTCACAGAGAAGAAACTGAATAAGGAAACGCTTTATTCCTTGAATGGACCAGACTGCGTTTGCTCTGAACAGCTCTCAGTTTGCATGATTGTGAAGCATGCTGAAAAATAACAGAGATGCTTAAATAAAAAACAATAAAAGGGTAAAAGAAAGAAAAGAAAAGTCCAATCTGTTCATCCAGGGGAGTGACATGAACAGACACGGTGTAATTGGTCAGTTCTCTAAGGCGATGGTCCAATTTGAGCTCACCTCCTGATTAAGGAGTTTCTATTTTTACGCGACCATCTTCAGCATCTTTATTCAGAGGCTCCAGTTGGGAGCGGGCTAAAAGGTGTGACGGGCGGGGGGGAGGAGACGTCTCTTACCATCGCCCGTCTCCATGCGCTCTGCGTTGCCGTACTTCTGCGTGTTCCTGGCAATGGTTCCCATATTGGCCATGTGGTGACGCTCGGTGTGGTGGGAGTGGGACGAGTCTGACGAGTAGCCCGTCACATCCGGGGGGGTCGAGTGATTCTCTGCAGGGAGACGGAGGGAGGAAGAGGGAGAGGGGGGGAGACAGATTGAGAGAGAACAGAGGGAGAGGTAGACAAACAGCCAGTGGTGACTCATTGTTCATATTTATCACTGAACTCTTTGTCAAGTGCCTTGTTTAATTGCTCTTATGAACAATTAAACCCAATACGATGGTCCTTTTGTTTGTTAATGTGGGTCACGTCCCTGACACACACACACACACACAGACACACACACACACACACACACACACACACACACACACACACAGGAGTGAATGAGGTCTGGCATGTCGGGACATACTTCCTCTGTGTATGTGGAATTAAAAGGGAGCACATTTTATGACACAAAGTGTAAAAACCTGCTGTTCCAAACATAATCAGATGATATTAAACTGATTCCTTCGACACAAACATCTGGAAATAAACTACAAAGAAAATCTTTATTTTTACGAGAAGACTGTCAACAACTTTTTTATGTCTTAAAATCGATAGCAAACCGAGTGTAGAGCGCACTCGTTTTGAAGGTTTTAACAGATGCAGGATCAAAAAACTAACTGAAGTTGGACCACTCATCAGATCTCTGTTCGCTCTCTTTGATCTGTGATAAAACGTTGCTCCAATAAATCACATTTATTGGGAACTATCAGTACAGTGTTCAGATCTTTTGTCTGTTTTCCTGCATATATCCAACACTTTAAGGTTGTCTTTATCGTAGCTAATATTTTTAACACTGATGAAAACACTTTGTATTTAGGTGTTGGACTTTACCGTCTGACTCCAGGGGTGGCGGCCACAGCATGTCAGATCCAAACTCACAGGATCGTCGCAGAGATCCTCCGTTCTCTGCTACACTCAGAGCTCCCTTCCTCTTCAGAGACAGGTGGCCGATACCTGCACGCAGCGCACACATACAGGTGTATCAGACGGGACGATGCAGCCAAACCAAAGGCTCAAGATTCATTATCTCGTTTACTTATTCTTCAGAGAGTTCCTAATTTAAACTAAAAAGTTGCCACGTTTGTTGCGCCATCTTATTTAGTCAGTGTTCTTGTACGGCTGTTTGTGATTAAACAATCTTTATCTTTGTTAAATAAAAAATAAAAAAGGTTATGTAGATTTTTTAAAAATATTTTTCAAAGGGATCAAAATCTGTAGCAACTTAAATTGGGTTTGGTTGTAAATATGTTCAACAATACACAACTCCAATGTGCAGTATTTACTTAGCATGCACTTGTAAATAGATTAAATTTAGTCCAAGAACCTGTGAAAAATGACATATACATTATGTGCAAAACCACTGTTAGAATCTATAAAAGGTAGGAATGGGCTCATGATTTTTAAATAGTCTTTAAATTATAAAAAGAAATGAGTTAAAAACATCTCACATCTGTTCAATATCTCACTATCGTCCTTCACCAGCAGAGTCTGGACAGCTAAGGCTAGTAACCAGCTCCAGCTACGAGTCAGGCTAAATAAGAAACCAACGTTCTCCCAACTACAGTTCAAAAACTCTGGAAAAGGTAACACAGCTTTCATATGACGAGTCTACAACTAACTCCTTGTGTGTAAAACCTGTGTACACCAAATAGTGCTTACATTAAAGTGCATGGAAATCCCACTTCCTCCACTTATACGCATATACTGCTTTAATGCTGTTTCTTATCCTCTTTTTAGGATCCAAATCCATCAAAAAACTCAGGTTTCTATTGTGCTGGGATACAAAAGTTTACAATTTGGTGCCTAAAATCAGCACACAAACAAGTCTTCAGACAAGAATATCCACATTTAACAATGTAAAATGTTTCTTTCTTTTCTGTTTTAATACACAAACACAACCCAGTGAACCCAGTACAGTCTTACCGTGGTGTGACTGCGACAGGTGGCTCTGCTGGTGGTGCGACTGGCCCAGGTGCGAGTGCACCAGGTGCGTGTGCGCCAGGTGCGAGATGTGCGTGTGCGCCAGCGAGTCGGCCAGCCGCCCGGCGTTGCCGCTGCCTCCGCTCTGCGTGGACGAGGACGAGGAGGAGGTGGAGCCCAGGTGGGCGGGGCCTAGCTGGGAAGGGCGGCTCATCCAGTGCTCCATGCCCGACATGTCGTCGCCTGGCCCCGCCTCCTCCTCTGAGCCCGACGACGAGTCTGAGCACAGGGGCGACAGGCCTAGTGAGAGTCAGTAACTGTCATTATTTGTCACCAGGAAACACACAACATTAACAACATGAGCACATACACACTTTGAGATATAATATGTTAATGGCTGAGCTCTACCAGTCCTTTTTTTTAACATTTGGAGAGAGTCAGGCTAGCTGTTTCCACCTGTTTCCAGTCTTTATGCTAAGCTAAGCTAACCAGCAGTTGGTTCCACCTCTGACTAACACTTTTATATACTTTATGTCTGGGCCTGATTTTTGTCATATGGACTAGGCCCCTCCAATAAAAGACATGAGTCGGCTCCATAAAGACCCCAGCTTGCTCAGAGCCCTGACCTCAACCACACCCAACACCTTTGGGATGAACTGGAACACCGATTGTAACGTAGGAGCTCATTGATGCTCTTCTGGCTGAATAACTATCACATATGGGTGTAATGTTTTGGTGCTAGTTAGGGTCAGTAAGATGTTACATAAGGAGAACAATAACACTACATTAAAGTCCTGAGGGCGACTTAAGATCAAGAATTCCTCAGCCGACATGATTCTAGCCTCGTGTGTGAGCCTTGTAATGATAAACAGATCTAAATTGAACAGTTTATTGTCTCTGTTCAGTCAAACAATGGTTCAAAGTCAGGCAGCAGATCATGATTCACCACTTTTCCGCAGTGAGTGGCAGAGCTGACCGCCGGCTCCTGAGCTCACGGTCCCAAAATGTCAATAATTAGTACAAGAACCAATTTAGTTAAAACTGGCTTCAGGCTGCACTTCATAAAAAGAACCACAGAGACTGGATTTAATTCTTTAAATAAGAGTTAATCATCTGAACACAGGGGCGCAGGCACAGGGAGCCCCAGTAAACAATCAATGTGAACAGAAATCATACATTTAAGTAACGTAATGGGCAGATTTACTCGACTTTCACACACAGATCTTAAAACAGTTTGTGTTGTGAGGAGCTAAAAACTGGCTCTAACTTGCATTCGAGGGTTACGGGGAGACGTCGGGTCCACTTAAGAATTCTCTCAAAGGTTAAAAAGCAAATTACCGGTGAACAAAGTTATTACATTTCCTTCATTAAAATTCAATCAACACCCAAATTATGTTATCAACTCTGATTATGTTCAATCTAATGAGCTCATATTTGAGGTAAAGGTCAACTTCAACATCCCCTTTCAGCCAACTTCCTGTGGTTGCAGAATGCACAAACACACTGACAGACAGCTAATAATCTGTATTTTTCCTGTTTTTCGTGGCAGGCCACATTTACAGTAGTTGACTGCATCATTACAGCTGTCTGTGGTTTTGTTTTGACTGTAAATCTGTCAGTCGCGCCGCAGGAAATGTGCAGGTCTGCAGTTTTTTTTGGTGAAATGTTTCTGTCAGAATAAAAAAAAAAACGTCTGAGAACCAGAGACAGAGCATTACAACATAATCCTGTCTGGGCACTGGGTAGCCCTCTCTGGGGTCACATTTTAGGCTTAGTACAACCCAGTGCAGCTGAGTGTGGGTCTGTGTATGTGTGTGCCTGATATTTCAGTGTCGCTGTAAAGCTTTAAATGAATTCTACTGTTGAAGTGACTCCAAGAAATGCCCACATCAGTGGTTGATAAAATCAACTTCTCTCTCACTTCTCGACTCAATAGCGGACTAACTGACTTGAGAGGATGGTTTGCAGTGTGGAGGAGGAGTGCAGTTGCGCGTTTTTGGTATGTGTCTCGTCACCTGGAGGCGTGTATGCATCCATGGAGGTCTGCACCACCAGCGAACGTCTCTTGGAAGGCATCGGCACCGCCACCTTCCTCTCCACGTGTCGTGCCAACACGGCCTGCACCGCCTCGGTGTGGACGTCTGAGAGAGAGAGAGAGAGAGAGATTCATTCACACAAAGGCAGGAGGAAGAGTTCACTGTTTTTGTGCTCTTTGAAGCAGATTGGATTCTTTAAATACTTTTGTGCTGTGGAAGCAGAATGAATCTCAGTGGCTGAATTAAACCTCAGTTGAAGGAGCCACATACAGTAGCTACCTGTGGTAATAAATGACACCAGAGAATATCAATCCAGTTCACTATAAATGGCACTGACTTGCAAGTTTTTTGTTTTTAGCAAGCTAACATATGTATGACTAGTCTCAATGGGCTAACTAGCTCCACAAGGACTCTACTGCTCCAAAATACAGATGCAATGTGTTCTCTTCTCTTTTAGTTTCTAATATAACAGTTGAATTTAAGTTATTAATTTTACTTAAATATATTTTGACTCCAGTAGTCTATATTTGAAATCACATAAACCCATCTGAGGGTACAATGTTGGCTTATTCAGAGTTGCAAAGATATCCAGCAACATGAACAACAGCAAACAGACGTGTTTCTCAGGCTGTGAAAACACTGCTGTCCCTCTGGGGGAGCTTTGTCTGAGAGAACAACCCTGATATTGTATATTACAATGTTTGTTTTTTTACAGAAAACCTGCATTACAAAGAGGGGAAATTAATAACTTTGTCTATTAGCAGGACGTTTTTTGGCCCATAAATTGGAACGATTTTTAATGCTTCTTGCCTGAGTTCTCTTTGTGTTAATTAGAATTAATTGAATAAAACAGTTATATAGTAATATTATTAAAGAAAGGGTGGGGTGATGTGGCTTCCTGTGGTCGTACCTGATCGGTAGCGTTCGTCTCTGGTGCCGGAGGTTCGCCGCCGGTGGAAACGGGCGGCAGACGGAGGGCCGAGTGGGGCCCGATGAGACATGGGCCCTTCCATACCTACAGAGGCAAGCAGACAAGCAGGCGGACAGACACACACATATATATACAGACACACACACACACACACACACACACACACACATATGTACATACACGTTTCACAAAAGCAATAAATACAGAGCGCAAAAAAAGGAAAAAACAAACATGGAGATGATTTGATTCGGCAGAAAAATCAGATTTTTCTGACTTAAACAAAAGAATTTGAAACATAACATAAAATAAAATTATAATAAAGTGGCAGTTGTATTTGGTTGCTATAGGACAGTAATCGCTCAGTATTTGGTGACCCTATAAAGCTACATCCCTGTGACAAACGATACCGATAAACCCGGGGTTGTGTGATAGATGAGTGTGTGTTTCAGTTGCAGAGGGGCCTCGTGGGGGGGCCTCGTGGGTGTGGAGGCAGCGTTCAGATTCAGATACAGAGGAGCAGGCCCAAGCTGAGCTCTAGGGAGTCTTAACCTACATCCACTAATGGCGGCGGCTGAATCGATAGAGTAGAGTATCATCGCAACTGTATTCGTCATGATACCAGATCGATATCCTAGTAGTGGTATGGGAATATTTTAGCTGGTGGGGGGTGTAGGGGAGGTCTGTGTATGTGGGGGGGGGGAGGTCAGAGGTCGCTAAATTACCTCCAGCATGTGGAACATATGCCCTGATCAGCTTGTGCCTCTTCTTCTCATAACCCTTCTGAGTGATGTCCCCTGCAAACAAATAGAGATAGATAGAGAGTGAGAGAGCCAGTGACGGCTGTGTGGGCTGTTTTTATTAATTTATTCATTAAATAATTTAGATAAACATGCTTTATTGTTGCTTCAATCTTTTTTTTTTTTTTTTTTAACTTGAAGGAGGGGCAGCGCTGGTGGCTTGTTGGACCAACACCACACGAGCACATCACCCTCGGATTGAATCTATCTCGAGTCACCCAACCTCTTCTGTCTCTCCCAGTCTTTTAATGTCTCTGTCTAGACTGTTAATTAAAGATAAAAAATGTAAAACACAACTGAAACAACGTAAAAAATAAATGAATGACGATGAATGATGATAGAAGTGAAGAATGGGACAAAAAGAATAAAGTAGAACAGGTTGTTCAACAGTCTCATGTGTGGAGCCTCTGAAGGTTGTTTGTTCATTGTTAATACTCATTTTTCTTCCGTCTTTGGTGCCATTTTGTAGTTTCCACAACAGAAGATGGATTCCTCCACACAAATTAAAACCTAGAAAACAGAGAGCTGTGAGGGACGGACTAGCCAAGATGAAAACTTGGAGTGAGGCTCGACATGCTGCCAAGGAAAGGGAACAATGGAAGGAGCTCATTGTGACCACACGTCCCGCAGGAGACGAAGAGGGTAAGTAATTACGTTCCAAAACATCACCCACCAATCATATCAAATGTTTCCAGTACCGAGTGGCCTGACTTCTCCCAACTGCCCCGAACACACAGTGAAAGCTCAGGTATGTGAAGAAGCTCTCTTGTTTCCAAGTAGCTGTAGTAGTTTTGTAAGTAATCTATGACATTTTGTGTTTGTGGCGTTTTGTTTAGTGGCACTATGGTTAACTATTGTTCATCAAACCACTCGTCCTCTGACCTCCGAGGAGTTTCCCAGGGAAGTCCAACCACACACAAAGCGAACAAAAGGTTTTCAGGAGCTGCCCACAAGCTGAACGGCTTCTGTTTTACATCCATCATAAAAAGAAAATGTAACATTTCCACTGTTACTTTACATAAACCTGCACGATAAAGCGTCAGCAGAGGTTTTATACGAAGATATGACTTTATGTGACAAGTGACGACAGATCGGAGTCTGGTGGACGGACAGGCAGAGGTCAGTGTGGAGGGGCAGCCATGGAGAAGCTCATTACGATCCCTGAGGGGGGTTTCGCTGCCTAGGCAACCATCGACGCCCGCCCTCACAACCACCACCACCACCCGTCAATCACAGCACCTCGGGGTCCTCGCAGCGGGGCTAATACGAGCTAATACTTCCTCGTTTGTCACCGTTAAAATGCTGTTAAACCGTCTGTTTTCCAATTATTGATTCTTATTTCATTGCCACGGAGATGTTTAACTCGCCAACAACAGGGAGCCAAATCAAACTCGACGGTGGAAGAAATTCAGCAACAGCAGAGCGGACACGAGGAACACGCTGGTGTGAAAATAAGCTATAAACAAGACAGCTGACAGATGTGCATCGTAACACACTATGAGGAATATCAGTCTCCTCAAAATAAGTGAAGATAACAAATGGAGGAGATAAGTTCCACTTGTTTAAAGTTTTATAAGAATATTTAACCCCAAAAAGTACATTTTAAGACACAAACACTTGTGTTAAAGGACAGGATACTGTACATTTATGTTACTGTAAACAAATGCAAAGAAAAGACCAAAACAATCCTCCTTAAAAACAGGTCACAAATGTGTAGTTTCATTTTCATTAAAGGCTCAGTAATTTCCTAAAACACTTTAGTTTTTAGCAAACGTTACTCAAACAGGAGGAAACACTGTTGGGGACTATTTCTTAGCGGCGGATTATTCCACATTTGGCGCTGCAGTGTAGCGGATTTTGTGACATCCATACGAAAAGTGAATGAATTACTTTTTAATTTATCATAAAACTTCCAATAAAAGCAGGGTCCCTAATAGACGCAGGTCTCTTTTAAAAGCCTGGTGTGGCTACACGTTTTGACAAATAAACACAGGTCTCCAATAGAGGCCTGGTCTGTATTTGATAGAAATTATCTCGATGTATAAAACCTCTTAAAACCCACCGGGTCGCCTACTTGAGCGAGTTTTAAGTCGTTTCAATCTCCTACACAAATATAAATGTTTATGCTGCACATCGTTAGAAGCAGCAGTTAGAGTTTAGTTTAGTTTTGTGCTAAAGGAATTAAAGGCCTGTCCCAAATCGATGCCTGTCCCAAATAAAGGCAGGGGGAGTTAAGTGATTAAAGCTAATAAATGCCCGGGCTATTATTAGAAGTTTTACAGTACTTTACTTTATAGCTCCATTACCTAATGTTTTATTGTGTCACATGTCTGGTTTAAAAGGGCGTGTTGCTGCTTTGATATAAATAAATATATATAAATATAGTATACATTCAGAGCATAACTATCCTATTACAGCTTTCTGATACAAGACTCAAGTGAAAGACGTCGACCAACAGAGCTAATTTCTTTCAAATATCAATCAGCTTTTTTCAATAAAATCATGAATCAGCAGTTTTTA